AACATATTATGAATTTATTGTATCACTTTTAAATATTACATTTTTATATTTTAATTTTATAAAATATATATTCTATTATTTTATTGTATAATATTATAATTAATATGTTGAAAAGTTGTTGTAGTACGTTGATATTAATTATTTATTGTTGGATGTCTATAACAATAATTTAAAAGTTTAATTATTAAAATATAAATAAAGTGAAAAATATTTTTGTTATTTATTTCAACTTGTTCAAAACATTCGAATATGCTATTGACATATTTAAAAATGTTACAAACATATAATAATTTTCAAATGTGGTGACTCCAAACTATCTGCAAAGCAGGTGATCGTTCTAGGATTAGTCGGCTGGTATAGCGGGTTGAATATCCCGGTTAATCAAAAAAAAAAAAGGAAAAGAAGAATAATAATTTTCATGTTCTTGAAGGAAATATGTTGTTTTTTTTACTCATATACTATTTAAAAATATATCCTTTAAAATGAAATATTGAGGTTGTTTGGTAGTTGCTGAATGGTTTGGTGCAAAATGATTAAATAGTCAGAATGATTAAGAAGTTCTCGTGATATAATGCATAATGAAATATAATTATTTGGTAATTGTTTACAATCAAATTATGGCGCTTAATAGTTAAGGGAGACCCAAGATACACAATCGTTCAGAGGATATTATAACCATTAAGAGACAAAAAAAAATTGTCAAACAAAATTCACCTCTTAACAATTCAAATGTTGTCTTTTAATAAAACTATTAAGAGATAAACAAACAACCCTAATAATTTTTTAATCTTCACCCTTTTTCCCTCTTTTTCCTTTCATTTTCTCCGTAAAAAAAAGTTTCAAGAACACAACCTTAAAAATTAATGCATAAATTAGCATTTATTCATACGATGTTTGTGTGCATTTATTGTATTTACCTTTTTGAAGCCTTCACAAAAATAGTAACTAATTGGTTTTGTAACTATTTGATCCATAATCCCGACTTTCCTTATTTAGATTTAACTACATATCAACTTTAGATATTTTTTTTACGGAACAAACATGTTTAAAAAATTGTATTATTTTTACTAAAAAATGTCAATTTGTTGAATATTCTTTATTCAAATAATAATCAGATAAAATACTAATTTTAATCAAATTTGTTCACTGTCTGGGAACTTTTTTAAGAAACATGTGTGAGAAAAAAATACTGGCTTCAATTGATTCTCATTTGTCACAAAGTTCCAAATATGGTTTTTAATCGTTGTTGTTTTACGAATGAACTTTCAATTTTTTGTATTTGATTTCATCAGCTGATATCGTTTTTTAAATTAAATAAATTTATATTAATTAAAATTGTCAAATTTAATGTTCGTTTCGTACAGTTCACATTTGAGAATTAATAGCCGATTGAGACTATTACCAGTTCAACCTAAACATGATCCCAAAAAAGATAAATGATCGATTAAAATCTCACCATGACGATAACACGTGAAAACCAATGCATTGCAGAAAAATCATCAAAAAAATACCATTTAAATTACCAAAAAACAAGCCGACGTCACTGCTTGGAAAATTCACAGCCAACACAACATCTACGTGAAATAGCGTCTACCCCACATCATCGTCATCGCTACTGTCTTGAAACCTAATCACCAACAATATTAACAAGTCATTGTTCGATTATCACTTGTCATGCGTATTCAACAATGTTGTACGCGTAATTATCATATCAAACCCTCACTCAACATCAGGAACAATTCGTTGTTGTGGGACAGTACTGAAATGATTGGACACACGTAGCCATCACCTTCGACTATCTAACTGCCTATTGACATGTCATCCATCACACGTATCCACCAAATTCAGTATAAACGTTCAATATTTGTGTATACGTAAATCTCCATTTTCAAAGTCGAGCCTCGACAATTCATTGGTTGGCGTTACTACATTGCTTATCTGCTATTTCACACTTGTACCCCTTTAGTGCCAATGCCACAAAGTCGATAGATTCACACTAAGATTTGCGTAGTTTTGGTAACATATCACTTGTCGATCCACTTATAAGTCACGAGTAAGCACTAAGTTCTAATTTTTCATTGATTATACGACTTAATATATAGAGAGAGAGAGAATAAAGGCGTTTGGATTATTATTTTTATTGTAATTATCAAACTGTCAGTAATTCAACATATTTTATAAAATAAAAGCCGAAATTAACAATTTTTCTTTAACACATCATATTATATTTTAGTGCGAATTGCATGAAAAAACAACGTATTTTAACTTGATTCCTATTTTTGGTAACATACTTTCAAAACTTTTATTTTGATACATAAGATGTAAAATTTTAAACATTTAAGTACCCGAATAACCCGTTACCATGTTGATGTGGCAAGTGATGAGATGAAATTAAGTTGAATAGCAAATAATATTAAGTTAAATACCACATCACTAGTCATATCAGCATGGTAACCGATAATAAAACGTACAAAAATTGTTCTGTATTTTATACAACATGTATAAAAAAAAAAAAACATAAAACATGAAAACTTTCTTTTGAACCCAATAACATGCCAACATGATTAATTTCCTTTCTTTTTCATTTTCTATATCCAAACTCAATAACACTTTATAATAATTATTACATGCAAATGAATTATTTGATGTAACATGCATTATTTCAATAGAATGAAAAGTGAATTGCATGTTTGGTCCTTGTAGTTTATATATATATATATATATATATATATATATATATATATAAGTCTACAGAGATAACTTCTGTTAAGAACGCTGTTAAACGAAGAGCATTTATGTCTTTTTCATTCTTTCCTACTATGTACTGTTTAAAAATTAATATACACCATATAGTATTTAATATTATATTCTATATACACACATAAAAATTTGTCATCCATACGAGACCCCCTCCTTGCCAAACTCCGGAAAAGCCATCTCAGTCGGCGTTATATACATACACATTACAAAAACGATAAGTTTTAAGCCACCACCTCTGTTACCCCTTACACCACAAACCCCTATTGACATTTGTCTTTCCTCACCTCCACTGTACTGGAACACCCTTCGAATCCCGAATGTACACCGCTCTGTTCCCATCACTGTCCTCATTTATTCCGGCCACCATTTTGATGATCCTCCATATATGCGGATGCAGAAGCATTGAACTCCAGATGTTTGGATTTGGGTATTGATTGAAATGAAAATCAAAACCCAAACACATGAGACCGACACTTCAATTTGGATCTCGATTTGCACCATAGACCTTCAATTCCAAATGACGACACATAAAGAAGCAACTTGATCCTCCTTCAAGTTCTAGAACCAAAACACAATCCATAAACCTTTGACTCCAGATGAGTGTTTTATGCACGTTGTTGCGTGAAGGAATTAGATGGTGGCCAAATACGGTAGAGAAGCAAAAGGGGGCCACGACGGGGAAGGTACAGTGGTTTGTGCCACCGTGTTGGTAACAAGCAAGATGAAGTCGTATCGGATATTTGTGTATAACCATGTATCTATATATAATATGTCATAAAAGGTGATTTCACGTGAGACCAACCTGCTTCCGTGAGACCACAAAACAACACTGAAACTTCACAACAATTTATTGAAAACGTATGAAAAATATCGAGCCTTCACAACAATTTATTGAAAACGTATGAAAAATATCGAGTCTTCACTACAAAACACTATAAAAGTGTTTTCCTATGAAGGTCCAGTGGTCTTACGTGTCTAATGAAAACAGTCTGGTGTCACATGATCGTATAGAAATACCAAAATACCTATTATGTTAACCGAGTCAATACCACTCTCATAATAATTACATTTCCCTTCTTAAAAATGTAAATATAAATACCAAAATCGTAATTAAAAAAAATCCATAAATTCATTATTATTTTGTTAAAACATTTAATATATATATATATATATATATATATATATATAGGGGCCTAATCAAATGAGAACAAATTAGTTTGTGGTAACTGTGAGAACCAATATTAACTACAAATCAATAGATAAATTAGGAAATTTATAATTTTGGCAATTTTGAATTAAAATTTTAATGTAAGGATATTTTTGGTATTTTACAACTTTCCTCCCTCCTCTCTTCTCTCTCCGGCCACCGTCCTCCGGTGATACTACAATGGTATCACAATGCATCATATATGTGCTTGGGTATCACATTGATGTCGTTTGTGTGGTCGATCGAAGATGTAACACAGTGGTATCACTATGCATCTTATATATGATTAGATATCACAATGTATCTTTTATTTAACAGAGTCAATATTTTTAGGTATCACAGTGGTATCACCGGAGGACGGTGGCCGGAGGCCGGAGAACGGTGGCCGGAGAGAGAAGAGAGGAGAGAGGAGAGTTTTAAAATACCAAAAATATCCTTGCATTAAGATTTTAATTTAAAATTACCAAATTTATAAATTTCCTAATTTATCTATTGATTTGTGGTTAATATTGGTTCTCACAGTTACCACAAACAACTCAGTTCTCCCTTGAATAGACCCCTATATATATATATATATATATATATATATATATATATATATATATAGAGGGATGATATTCTACACCATTTGCCATTCTTACACCCTATACAACCCTCATCTCAACCATTCAATTTTTAATCAATTAATTGTTTCATAATATAAAGTATTAATCATAATTAATAAACTCTATTCATATTCCATAAATATTCAAATTATAATAAATGAACTCCAATCATTTCTATAAATATCTCAATTAATTGGGTTGCAAAGGTTGTATAAATGCACAAGGTTATAAAAGAAATATACCCTGTATATATATATATATATATATATATATATATATATATATATATATAATTTTTATGCTTTTCTGGTCTGAATATTTTGGATTCGAGGATCCCACATTTATTTTATAAATAGATAAAAAAATAACGAGTGTTTTTGACCGTAAAAAGTCGCTTTATCCATATTTACATTTTCACCAACATCCAACGTGCCTTGATTGAAGGCAAAGCAGCGATTCAGCATCATCATCACCATCCTCATTCTCCCTCCTTCCATCACTTTCTTTCGGACACGCTTCCACACCCAGAAATCAGCACGGCACGAGATCTAGGATCAATTCGCTAGATCTACAATAAGTTGGTTCTTTTTCGCTTTTCTTTTCAATCGATTCTTCATTCATTGTGGGTTTCTAATTCGTTTGGTATTGGTTGAAATTGATTCATTATCATCGTGTTATGTGATTGTTCCAAGCAATGTGTGGAGGAATTTTGTGGTAGGGTTTGGTGTTTTTTGATTGGAGTTTGTGGTCGGATGGTGTTAATTGGGGAAGATGCAGACGCAGAGACGAAACACTCGAGATAATTTTTGGAATCATAAATTAGATCGGGGTTTATTGATGGAATCATCGCCACCTTCGAAGTTGGTTTCCAATGGTTCATCGTCTTATTCGATGCAATCGTCGTGTGATACTTCACCTGGTGGTGGTGGTTCGAGTGTCGGTGACGGTGGTTTGGGATATATTGAACATACTGTTACGAAATTCGATACGCTTGCTGGTGTAGCAATAAAATACGGCGTCGAGGTAACTTGTTTTTGATTGATTAGAAAAATGAACCTTCAAAATTTTGGTTGCTTAACCTGTAATTTCGTGTTGTTTCCAGCTTTCTTCACTTTTTATGCCTATAGTAATGAATTTGTAATGCAAAAATCGTTGAATTTTCTTATGGAATTCTGGTACACTTCATTGTTAGGGTGTCCGTGAACAGGAAACAGATTAAACTTTATATGTAGCAAGATTCAAGAATTTGGTGAAGGAACTAGAACCAATTTTAAGCAACTTCATGATTTTTTGGATACATTTACCTAGTTGTTATTGCTTAATAAACATGATATCAGAAGGACAAATGTTCTGTTAATATTACCCCCTATCCTTTAAAAGGTACATTTTGATTGTTTTACTGGTTTTGATGTTCAAGAACAATATGTTTCTGCTTGCCCTGAAAAGATAGTACACCTTTCAATTCAGAAGGAATGTAAAGAGATGTTTTTGAATATTGATTAGATACGAATCGACAAAACAGTCCTTTATCCTATCTTTTTAGAAGAAGGAATCAACAAAATAACTTTTTTATGGGACGAGGAAAAATTATTAGGTAAAGTTGTTTTTTGGGATGATGATCGATCGGTCTACATTGTCAGCTGATGACATTGAATGATTTGAGGTTATTGGGCTGTCAACGTTGGGGTTACTAATTAGCAACCGGTATGTTTCTTCTTGTCATGCTTGTTACAAAAAGGTGGTTACCAGATCTTTCTCAAAAACTTGGAATTGTGACAAATTTATAGTTGAAAAGTCGGATCATTTGATTTTGTGAAGTCACATGGAAGCTTATTTATATGTCTGAATGAGACCAAAAGGATATTAAATGAATGAAACTGCCATATGGTGTATATTTTAATAGAGCCACTTAGGGAACAAGGGAGTAATATATTTAGGTTAGTTAAATGTGAAAGGATTGGCGTTATCAATTTGAAAATACGGAATGATGTGCATAGTGTTAAAGCACACCATCGTAAATCGTGCCATATGTTCAACCAGTTATGTGTGAACGGAATAAGAATTTTTTTACATCTTGCGATGCATTTGAGGTTTATTTATAGTTCTGTATACATTCACTTCTACATTTAGATGCGAGCATGCCAATTTTATTTCCGTATTTGACTCTGCACTCTTTGTTAGGTGGCTGACATAAAAAAGATGAATGGTTTGACAACTGATCTACAAATGTTTGCCCGCAAAACGCTTCAGATACCCCTACCAGGAAGGCACCCACCTTCTCCCATCATGTCAAATGAATATGATTCTCAAGGGTACCGAAACGTCATTTCCTATCTACTCATTTGTTTTAACTATCCAATCTCTTAACCTGATGTGCTCTTCCTTGTGTCCGAATCTAGTTAATCTTGTCTCTAGCATATGGATCATTACATATGACAGCACATATAAGTATAGTTGTCGGAACGTGCCATACTTTTTGCTAGTATACTATTTAATACACAATTTCACTGTTTTTATTGGAAAGAGGGCAGCACCTCTGCCAAATCTATTGAGACAAAATAAAATGTACACCTAAATGGAATTGGACTCCCACCCAAATGCATGTCATTCGACTTTTTGGGACAAACCCCAATATCGATATGGAGTGACCTATTTAATACATTTTCACCTTTCTATCTTAACGTAGTTCATACTGTATAGACTTGACGAGATTGCTGAACTTCATGTACTTTTGCTGGCTTCCTTAGTTGTCCTTGTAACAAAGGACATGTTATGTGAATTGCCTTAGAGTGCCTTTATTTGGTAGTTATCTTTGTACCAAGTGCATGTTAAAACATGTACATGCATATGCACATTTATATCTACATAAATTTCTTAAAACATACTGTTGAATTTGTAAGAAGAAACCCCAAGTTATTAAAAAAGCTCAAAAGGTGAAATTTATGTTTGGAACAAAAGAAGTAGTTGTGCAGTTTGGTGGTTGGAGGTGAAACTTATTATGATGTTCAGGACCTCAACATTATTTTATGATATGGAAAACCCATTTGTATTACGTATTAGAATCTTATTTTAGTATAGTATATGTACGACACCCACCATATGTCCATGTCGAATCATAAGGTTCACTTCAGAATATACGGACTGTTGTAAATGCACGTAGATTGTTGTGAACACACGTATATTCAATAAAGAGGCATACTTTTATGTCAGCTAATAAAATAATAAAATTTGTGCCAAAGCCACTCCCCTTAAGGTATTATTTGACCTTGGTCAGTTTGAAGTCCATGCTTCCTAACAATTACAACTGTTTTTAATTATTAAAATAGGTGATCAAATTTTTTATGGTTTGAGAATGAACAACAAAATTAAGTCCTGAAGAGAAGGAAAAGGGGTTAAATAGAGACAACTTGTAAACAGACTAAGCAGAAGGATAGTAAACCTTGCCAGATCTGCAGCAAGAAAACTTGTTCATAGAATTAGTTTATCATTGTCAACTAGTTCACCAATGTGATTGATAATTATTTATATGATGCATTACTTTTAGCATATTACTAGTTCATTTAGCAGTTTGTAATCGAAACAAGCCTAATTGCACTCTGGATCTTCATGCTTGGCGTAGTGGGTGATTGTTGTATTTGTATCATGAGGTGGTTCCTATATGTTTTGCATCTAAACTTTGGTTATCTCTACCTCTCATTAATGGTGCATTTGATACATGGACAGGATGGGACTGGTGAGAGTGTGGTAGGCAGGTGAAAGAATTGTGGAAGTTTTAAGGTTTTTAATTTGACATAGGTAGCTTAGTAATTTACCGCTATCTTGTCCTGCCTTTCTATTTTTGTTCCACCTATTTTGGTCGGACTTCGTCCCACTCAGTACTGTCCTATGCCAGTCTAATTGTCGCGCCATACGTGGGACACAAAGTTTGTGTCATGTCCTGTCCTGTCCTATAACAATCGCACCCCAAGATATTTGGGAAACAAGCAACAACTGTATGCGGTTGCTTTGTTCTAATATTTATTCTCACATGTATTCTTTTCGCCGAGGTTAAAGGACAACGGTATAAAAGTGATTATGTACCCGATAACTGTATTCTTGTAAATGATACCGCTTTAAGATCTAGAAAAGTATTTTAGGTACTAGTTTCTTTTATGTTAATGATTTACTCTTGGCATAATCGCCGAGTATACAGATATGGTCATCAATTGTTGTCGGGAACTTGTTCTTAGGGTGCCAGGTTCTCGGGAGTTTGAAATGAAGTTGGGGGGTCTTATAGTAGGTTGGTTTGTTTGATTATAAGGTGATTGATTCCTGCTGTTTATTTGGAAGAAAATCTCATCTTATATTTAACTGGAAACACATCAAATGACTAGATTACACTTCAAAATACATGTTTGTATGCATATATTGTGTGACCAAGGGAAAGTTCGTTTAGGAACCATAAAACGATTCATGATGAATAAAACCTAACCATTCATGAATATTATTGATCGTGAATATCATTTTCTGATATTCATGATGAATATCTTTTACCATATTCATCATGAATAATTGGTTCTCACATTTCCTAAAATATTTACGGTTCTCAAATGAACCATCCAATGCGACTATACTCTATATAAATGAAATTAAGTACTCGTGTTTGCTATATGGACCCTGGCTCAGCATTATCTACCATTGTTCGTTACACTTATGAACCAAGTGACTTAACATGGATACTTTTCTGCAGGATAAAAAAGTCAGAGGTGACACCGCTTAACCGTAGACATTCCGATTTCTTTGACTCAGTCAAGTCCCTGAAACTATCGTCTTCTTCACCCCGAAATGTTTCACCATCCATGGACGCTTTACGAGACTATTATGGTCTTAAGCCAAAAGATCAGAATGGTATTGGTGAAAGATTTGGAATGGATGCCTATCGGAAAGGAGGTGCTTTCAGTTCAGAATATGGACCAAAACCATCCCTAAGTTCCTATCCGCCACACGGTCTTCACAGAAAGTGTAAAAGCTTAGCGTACGGGTTATCAGAGACCACCATCGATGGTGATCTGTTGGCGGCAAATGGAAAACAACCCGAGTCTGATACATGGTACGACAAATTAATCAGAAGGCGTAAATCAGAGGTCGACCTCAACAACCCCACCCCAGAAATGATGCTTAAACCTGACACCAGCAACAACAGCAGTGCATTTTCAGCAGCTGCTGGAAAAGGCTTAGCACTCAGGCCAAAGGCCGCTAACCGAACTAGCGATGCTGAAGTTGGTCAGAACGTTGCTCCCTTAAAATTGGGGGATTCGTTGACCATCGAGACTTCCAGTGGAGTGAAGAAGTCTTCAAGCACACCGAGCTTTTACGACGCATATAATAGCAACAATAGCAGTAACTGCACGACTACATCATCGATCTGGCCCACCTCCATGCTGAATTTAACGGCTGATCTTCAAGCGTCGACTGCAGCCATTGCGAGGCCAATCTTCGATGGCTTGCCAAAGCCAATGAGCGGTCGAAAGAACAAAGCGGCTATCGATTAGTGAAATTATCGCTTCTTTTGGTTCCGATATATGGTCGGTCCTCCGAATAATTGATTTCGGGGGATGGAGGAAATAGAAAGAAAAAAGATTGATAGGGAAAAACAGAAATAAAGCAAGCAAGGGATTGATACAATTTTTGGTGCAAAAAGTATACATTTAGATAGGAAGTTTGTATATTAGTTGTTTAGGAAAGAAGCAGGGGGGGGGGGGGGAGAGAAAAAGGCTGGATTGCATGATGCTGTTTATATATTTCTATTTAAGTTCTTAAATTATGAACATAATATTCTTTATTCAACATGTATTATAAGTATTATTATTTATGTCTGGTAACATTTCGACCATTAAAGTGGAATTTTAGTAAATGTTTACTTGATAAGAGTAATGTTCTCGGTTTTTATTATACTTCTTATCAGATCAGGTAAAAATCCAAGGAGGAATAAAAATCCTCTTGTGGCCACGGAGGTTCAAATTTAGTGACTCCTGATACCCGTAAAGCAGGTGGTCATCAAAGGATTAGTCGGCTCGCATAACGGGTTGAATATTCAGGTTAATAAGAAAAATTGTTTTTAGTAATTGGTACACTTGTTTATATTGATTATTATTTAATTATTTACAGATATTTGTGTCATAATAACTTCAATAAAATCGATTATGCAAAAGTAGAGAATGAGAGGATCTTTGGTTCGCAGGATCCCGATGGAAGGAATTAGAATAATTAATTCCGTTGACAAAATTTCTGTGCAAACATTTGGTTTACTCATGGAGTCTGACTTTTGGTTTATGGTTTATCCATGGAATAAAAATGAATGCCACACATTCCAACATTCATGGATTTCGTCGTTCCATCAACAAAGAATTTAATTATTTTTCATCTCATTTTCTCAAAAGATAAAATAAAAATTATCCTCATCTTTCCTACTTAATTTACCCGGACCCACATGATCTCCATTTGAACCACCGTCAACCACTGTTCTGAACCACCGTCGACGACCACCGATCTGAACCACCGTCAACCACCACTGCTGACTACCACTGATCTAACCACCACAGACCCCACCGACCACCACCGTTCTGAATTGACCACCACTGATCTGAACCATTGTCAACCAACACCGATCTGAATCACCGTCCACCACCTTTGTTCTAAACCATCATCATTCTAAACAACCATCGATATGAACCACCATAGTTCTGATCTACCATCGATCTGAACCACCATATTCCGAACCACCACCGATCTAAACCACTATCGTTCTAAACCACCATCAACCACCACTAGTCTGAACCACCATTGTTTGGACCATCATCGACCACCACCGATCTAAACCACCGTCGATCACCACCATCCTGAACCATAACCGAGCACCACTGATCTGAACCACTATCGACCACCATTGTTCTGAACCACAACCAACCATAACTGTTATAAAAGGGGTATTTTGGTCATTTATCATTTATTCACCGCAATTTTAAAACTACATTCTACCAACCATACAGACAGATTTCAAATTATTTATCATATTCCATTCTCATTCATTCCAACCAAATGTATGGTCAAATTTCATTTTAATTCCTTCAAGGTCAAATTTATTTGACAGATCCCATTATTTCAAAAAACATTTTAAGAACCAGACACCCCTGAGAGAGAAGAAGAAAATCTACAAATTTAGAGAAATCTCTAAACTCTAATATAGGAGAGAGAAATAATATTTTAATTTTCTTCCTGTAAGATATTGAAAGTACATATTAAAAACAAAGAATTAATAATTTATTAAATGTATTAATATTATAGTGATATCATTAATGTATGAATTATTAAAACTAGAAGAGTACTCGTGCAATGCATCGAGACACATTTTGGTTTTAATGTTTCGTTTTATTTGTTATCTATGTCGATATAATACGAATTTATATGGTTTTGAGAGAACGATAATGTTTTTATATTTGAATAAAATATAAATTTGAAAATATCATATAAAATTTGCAAAAAATATATTAATATTAGTATCAATTAACTATTTAAAATTTTTTATTTGTGTATTTTTTAATTTAATTTTTTTATTATAATTTAATTTATTGTAACGAAGTAACTTAATTTAGGTTTAATAATATATTTTTTTATAAAAATAATAATTAAGTATTTTGTTAGAACTTAATAATTATCCTAATTATATTTTAGATTTTTTATATTTTAAAATAAGATGTTTATTCTCTATTTGATTATATTTATTCGCAGTTAGTTACACAAATTCAAACATAGAACTTTAATAAGTTGTACTTATGCACAATTTACTTGTAATCTTGAATTTTAAGTAATATACATCAATAAATAGTATCTCATACATAAAAAATAGTTTTTAAAAGTTTTTGTCAAATGTTTTATAATATAACATATATTAAAGTTAAAATGTAATTTATTTATGAAAATTTTGATTTTTCAATATTTTATTTTAAAAAATTTATAAAATACAAAATTATTAAAAATATTAAAAAAAGAATTTAAAGATCAAAATAAGAGGAAAAGTAATAATTATTGAATCACATCCAAACATCTCGAAACCGAAACGAAAATGGTGACGTGAGTAGACTATGGGAGAAATAGGTTAATACCTGAAGCAATTGAACAGCTCCCTTCTTAAACCCTACAACAATCCCCAATTTCTCCCCAAATTGCTATTGATCTGTAGCAGAATGCTGAATCCAATCGCTCGCAATTTGACTAAGCTTTGGAGCGGAGTAGCAGCAGCAAGGCCTGCCATAAATCATCAATGGCGGTCCTATGGTCTAATACCGATGGTGATCGAACACTCGTCCCGAGGAGAGAGAGCCTACGACATCTTTTCTCGACTTCTCAAAGAAAGGATTATCTGTATCAACGGCCCAATTTCCGATGATACATCACACGTCGTCGTAGCTCAGCTGCTCTTCCTCGAATCTGAAAACCCTTCTAAACCAATCCACATGTACCTCAACTCCCCCGGAGGAGCCGTCACTGCAGGTTTCTGACTCTACTTATTTACCTGTTATTATCATTATAATGCAGATTAGGTTTTATTGCCATTTTCTTTGTATTTGATTTAGGAAATGGTTTTTTTTTTCCTTTTGCAAATTGATGGTGTGGAAAAGGTCTGTATGAATACTTGGATGTATCTATTATCCCTCTGTTCCAGGAAAGAGATGCATAGATGTTAAACAAGGTACTTTTCAACTTTGAGTTGATAAGGGTTTTAAAACTTTCATGAAACAATTGCTAACTGCATTATGCTTGCTACATATCGAGTAACATAGGTGTTAAATGTGCGTGCAATTCATTCTGATTTAAGTAAAAGTTGAAATGCATTTACAGCCTTAGCGGATTGTATTCAGCATAAGTGGATAACCTTGCACAACATTCCTTGTGTGTGCTTCATGAAGCTACAGTCGCATCTGATTGGCTGCAAAGAAGCTGTTGTCTATTTCATGTGATGCAAATCTTGATTTGGTCGATCTTCTCTTTGCAGGTCTTGCGATATATGATACAATGCAATATATTCGTTCTCCAATCAATACTATATGTTTAGGTCAGGCTGCATCAATGGCTTCTCTGCTTTTGGCAGCTGGTGCAAAGGGTGAAAGGCGGGCTCTTCCTAATGCTACCATCATGATCCATCAACCTTCGGGTGGATATAGTGGGCAAGCCAAAGACATGACCATTCACACCAAGGAGATTATTCGAATTTGGGAATCATTGAATGGACTTTATTCTAAGCATACTTCACAACCTGTTGATGTAATTGAGAAGAATATGGATAGAGACTACTTTATGACTCCAGAAGAGGCAAAAGAGTTTGGTATCATAGATGAAGTCATAGATGAGAGGCCGTTAACTTTGGTCACGGATGCTGTTGGCAGCGAAGGGAAGGGAAAAGGTCCAGAGTGAAATCCGAGTGAAACGAATGCATAAAGCAGATATTTTGGTCGTTCTCTTTCTCTCTTTGCAAACTGTAACAGACAGATTAATCAAAGTATTCAGCTGTTCTCCCAGCATCTTTATTGCGAGAATCTTGGCTTCTGTCATCACGCATTTTTAATTGCATTCTGTTGAATGGGCTCATAAAATGGTTCCTTTTCCTGGTATGATTCTTGTCTTGTGTTTTGCATTGTTATAAATATGAGAAAAAACATTGAATCTAAGACATTATGAATGTTTAGTTCTGAATTTGAAGAACGGGTAAAAAGGATCTGCAGAGCTTAGGATGATCCTTTTATAACCGGTTGTTTGAATTTATGTAACCAGGTCCAGAACCAAGTGTTAACTGGTCCTTGACCTGGTCATCCTATGTGGTATGTGCCTAAGAAGGCATCCTTGACCAATTTTGTTTATTGGTCTAGATGGTCCTAACCGGTTTAGGTTCTAGGACGTTTGGCACCTTAGGATTATGTTTAACTAAAGGTGCCACAAGTCGGTATTTGGAAATATCTTTTGTCGTTTGGTACAGAAAATGTTTTGCATATATCTTACCTTCGAGGCTCTTATCTTTTAGTTGAAATACTGAAATATCTAGAGACCAATAGTCAACAATACGGACATGACTATTAACGCTAAGTTTCATTATGAATAATTTGTGTTTGTCGAAATTTGGTTATAGATTATTCATTGGCATTATAAAAAGAGCAGAGGGCTGTTTACCAAATGCCTACCTGGTACGTGCTTAACGGGTCACTTATCTTTACGGATGTATATGGCAAGGACCCAAAATCTTACCCAGTAAGAGCGGTGGCAAGGACCGAGAGTCTTACCAGGTAGGTGAGAGTGACGAATCTTACCCAGTTAGCGTTTACCGGATAAATTGTTGCATACAATACCGTTTTGATCGACTAGAATCTTACATGGTTAGATAGATGAGAGTGTAGACTCTCAACGGCAAGCGTTTAATCAATATGCCTTCGTGTCGATATGCCTCCAGTCTATGTTACATAAGGGTCAAGATGGAAATATATAAATTACCATACAACAGAAGGTGGTGTTTGTTTGTTTTTTCATTAAGCCGTGTATAGCATTTTGTTTGGATGAAACTATGGATCAAGTTGTTTGATGGATTCAAATAAATATTGTTGGTCTTTTGTGTTGCATAAACAGTGTTGGTCTTTTGTGTTGCATAAACAGTCTTAATAACATAATTGATCGTTTAACTCTCAGTCTAGGTTAAGGGGCCGATTACCAAACGCTTACCCGGATAAGCGTTTACCAAGTCACGTTACTTACCAGATAAATATAGTAAGGACCAAGAATCTTACCCGGTAAGTGGGAGACAAGGACCAAGAGTCTTACCTGGTAAGTGAGGGTGACGACTCTTACCATGGTAAACACTTACTCTGTAAATGGTTGCATACGATGCCGTTCTGATAGACTAAAGTCTTACCTGGTAAGTAAGTGATAGTGTTCTACCGGTAAGCGCTTACCAAGTAAGTGATTGGTAAACAACCCCAAATGTTGAATCAAAATGATTATTTGCTAGACATGTTGGTGCAAATTGTTGATGATAAATAAAATATAAATTTAACACTTTGACGCGCTTATCAAATACATATTGGACTAACAATCTTACCCGGTAAGTGGCTAAGAAGACTCTAACCTGATTAATGTTTATGAACAATTCATTTTGATGACCGAGAATCTTACCAGGTAAACATTTAGTGAATCATGAATACCCTCAATTAAATAAAAGAATACCAAAAAATTACACCTAAACAATATCAATGGAATGGCAGTTTATTAATCTGAATGGAAAATGCTGCATTCAATGATATCACTTTATTCACTAATGATTACAACGGTCTCAATCTTAATCTCTTGATTCTTTGCTCTTGATATAAATTGAACGCATTTATGGAGTCGTTTAAATATATTGGATTTTAAACCATCATACAATTTTTTCATCAATAGGCTGTAATTAAAACCATAACTCTTATTTATTCAAATTGTATTAATATGTAAAGACCAAATGTAACTTATATCATCGTTAAATCTTCTTTAATAAAACCAATGAAACTTCAAAATCGTTAAAATTCACGGCTTCCGCCACATTGCGCGAGTACACAACTAGTGTATAAAGAAATGAATTCATTTTCATTACAAATCCTATAAATCAAAGACTGAAATTTCTAGAAGACATTCTATCAAACCAAACACCCCGAGGGGTAGCTCAACTAGCCCGCTCTTCGTTTCGCTTCCTACCAGTCACCGATTCAAGTCCCCTCAGGGCCACCGGAGGTTTTCCGGCTGTTAACATCATGTCCCAATAAAATTAGTCAAGGTATGTGCAAACTGGTCCGGATAACCATGGTTATAAACTTATAATACAAAATAATAATAAAATGACCAGAACTGGTTACTATCTGATCCTTCAGCAGACCTACCATGAACCACCGAGGTTTTTTAAAAGTGAAAAGTGATCACTGCCCCCTCCGGCCCTCCCCATGGACACCAATAAGCTCCCCATTCTCCTGCTGCATCATTAGAACAGGCTACTGATTTTGTTGCACAGCTTCAGCTGTCGCTAGTATCAAAAACCGGCCGTTTTAACCACAAGGGTGGTGCCTAATTGGTTTGGGCTTGGCTCCAAAGGTCAAAAATACTAGGAGGTCCCAGGTTCAAATCCAAGGAGGAATAAAAATCCCCTTGTGGCCACGGAAGTTCAAATGCGGTGACTCCGGGCTATCTGCAAAGCAGGTGGTCATCCTGGGATTAGTCGGCTCGCATAGCAGGTTGGATATCAATTTGATGCCTCGATCTGAAAAATAACTCACCTGTTATATCTATGATAAACAAGTTGTGCATTTAAAAACCAGAGGCACACCATGCAGCTATGATTTTGGCGAACCATCTCTCATCTGCTCCAATTCCAACTGGCAAACGGGGTTTCGTGTCTTCATACTTGGCAAAGTGTCGGGATAATGTATCTGGAATTCACGCATTTTATTAGGCAGAGATAAAAGTTACAAGAATAATTCCTAATCCGCAATCGGAGATTTACATGTATGTCTCCGTAGTGAAGACTGAACAGTTGATACTTGACGCTTTAATCCACAAGTGCCCGTGCATTTGTGGACCTTGTGTCCACAATTCTACGCTGATACTCGAATTCTTGAAGCTCCACCTCCTAGTTTACTTGTCTTCATAGCAAATACCAAAACTGTTGAACTTGTCTAGATCTCCCCCTTTTATCGAGATTTCTGTATAGTGAAAACCACTGGACCAGAATTCAAAGAGTTTAGGCTCCAATAAGAACCATCAATGTCCATACAACCAGCATGCCACTTGATTTTGTAAGAACCCAAAGGAAACATCGAAACATCAAGTATACAAGTAGAGAATCCTTGCCCTTTTCCATTAAGTCTGAAACAGACGACTGATTCTGCAATCTGGCCATCAAAAGTATGATTTTTGTCATTAGTACCAAACCTGTCATAGTTGTTCACATACTTCACGAGCTTTTCATTCAATTCTAGCACATTATCATCTGTCTGGTCAGGAAGCACTGCCTGTGTTTTTCTTTCACTGTCTGTAGTTTGACAAGGTAGCTGGTAAGACATTTTACATTGAAGGATGCAATAAAGCTTGGTCAGCCGAACTCTGGACTCTGGTGAAATATCAGTTAATTGAAGACACAGATCTAGATGGAGATGACATTCTGGCAGGACAGAGATCCTCTCACCATTTCCACAGTCTCTGTTCATGGCAAACAGCTGACAAGAGACACTAGGCCTGTGAATTGTATGCATTTTTTATCAGTACAACTCTTATAGGGTTTAAATTGAACGGCTGAAATAAAAAACCCTACAGACTACTGTGGCTCCAATTTCGACTGGGTTAAGCCTCCTTAGGCTATTAAGTATTAACAAATACATACACATTCAGTTAGCAACATAAGAAGTGAAATAAAAAGAGAACGTTGAAGTGCTATTCATAGCTTACAATCATAAAATCAAGAAATTACAAAAGGTAACTTCCATAACTGAACTCTTCAACATCATAACCAACTTTTACCATTGCTACAAGTACCTGCCCATAATATGGTTATTAAAGGAAGAGTGAGTGGGTTACTCATTTGAATGATACTTTGTGTTCCGTATGCTATGTGTTATATTACAAGGATTATTTGGTCAAACTTTAGGCGTTTTAATGCACTGCAGGACTTGCAAGGGCTTGGGTATGATTTCATTGGAAGAGTTCATACTACAAGTGCAAGGACTTGGAAGATCAGACCATCATTTTGACATATAGAATAAAGTGGTACTTTGAGTCCATCGCTTCTCCCATCAAATGATTGAAGGAGGAGAACCTGAGCAGCTAAGCAGCCATAATAAACTTCTAACTTATGAATTGAGTTCATATTACTATTAGCTTTGCCAAATAATGACATCTTCAAGATCCTAAGGCAGCTTATGGATTGGACAACCCTCTTCAAAACTGACACATATCAGTTCCAAGGTTCTAAATGACGTGGAGCGAGGTCAAGCCTCAAGCCTTGCGAGTAACGGCGAGGCTACAACATTTTTCAAGGTGTGCCCTAAGGCAACATACACATACATACAAGTATGTATATATATACACTTGCGAGTGTTAGTCTTTTGAATAATCCCATAGAACAATTTAAATTCATGTGAAGTTATAAAACTAAAAAGAAAAGAAGAGCCATTTATATCAAATATATCAAACTTATAAAAAATGATATCAAGAGTGCAAAATCGAGATAAATCTGTTGAGTCTCTACTCACTATTTTCTTCAATCTTCAGAGAATTCACGTTAGAATCTTTGTGCATGGGAATAAGAGTACGTATTTACCTATTTGGGGTTTTAGTTTCTATGTTTCCTTTTGATGTTTATTTAAGTCTCAGGTGTCGTACATAATTATCATGCATCACTCAAGTTATATGTTTAATAATATTAATTAAAAAACCCATGCCTTACAAAATAACACACCATAATGCACCATAAACACGCCATAACACGTTACAACGGAAGCCAATCTTTAGAGTGGAGCCACAGAGGTTAACATGGCAGCAAAGCCAAGCCTCGGTGCCATAATGCGCCGTAACAAGGCCATAACGATTTATTTAGAACCATGATCAGTTCCTAGTGGAGATGACCACCACTTGTCCTACACTAGGTGTACAGAGGGTTAATATGTGAATGTTATGCATCATGGTACAAGTGTTGTAATCCTGAAAAAGATGTGTCCCTTGACATACCTTACACGGAAGAAGTATCTTGGAGTCCTGAAGGAGATGTTTAACCAGTTCCTTACAGTATCTAGTTGAAGTCCCAGTCCATCTTTGGTTATTTGCAATATAATCTCATCATTGCCGTCATGCAATCTTTTTGCTGCATTTTGTATGCCAACAACTCCCTTGACAGCAGATTGACAAATCATGATAATACTTCTTACTTCATATGCATATTCTAACCTCCCAATTTTAGCCTGTGGAACATTGCAGCTCTTCGATTGACCAAAACAGGTCTTTAGAAGCAGAAGAAGCTGTTTGCTAGTCTCCTGGTCTATATGCCAAAGTCGCGCTACAAGGTCATGTATAAGCATAGCATGGAAGTTACTCTGTAACTTAAGTAAACCAAGATTTGGAAATTGCTGCAGCGAATCTAGGTTTGCAAAGAAAAGAGAAAATCCAGTAATGAAAGCCAATGCTGAACAACTTAGCGCATGTGCAGAAATGATCATTGCACTTCTCTTGTCTATGTCAATAAAAGATGTGGCAAGTAGATCATACTCTTGTGCTAGTTTCATTAAACGGGTAGATAGCTGTGTAAGTGGCTGAACCAAGGATGCAGCATGATGCAAATGTCCTGCACTCTGAACAACAGTACTTCTCTTTAGCCGGTTGTTCCTAATGTTGTCTTCTTGAAAGGAAACAGTATCCAAGAGCTTAAAAGCATGAAGTACAATTTCTATAACATTTACCCTTAAAGACAAAAACTGCATCTGGAAGTAATGTTGACCACTAGGTGTGATCCGATTAAACAATAGTTCCTTTGAAGCCTGAAGAATTTTACACACCTCATCAAGACTTTCAATGTAGTGATGCAAATTAATCTCTTTAGTTGTCGTTTTTCCCACCTCACCTATATCTCCTACTATTGACAAGGCAGAAGATCCGTTGGACTCTAACCAAGTTAACAGAACCGACCTTTCCTTTGGGGAACTGCAATACTGGATTTTCATTTCTGAACAGGCAAATAAAGCCAAAGATGTTAACCAGTGACGGCAGGAATCAGAATAAACCATAGTTATTAGTTCTCCAAAAATAAAAGCAGCCGTAAACCATGCTCCCTGAGATGCTGCATATCTTCCAGTCTTGTAAGCAGACCAATTGTCTTTAATTGCTATAAGTTTCTTTGCTCTCTCAAGAGCAAGAATTTCATTTTTAATTGGGTATGCATGATCAGAAGTAATCAAGGTCTTGTCAAGGGCATTACCTTCTTCCATCTCTTTTAACATGTAATGGCAGTTAGCATGAGGTTGCAATAAAAGATAATAGACAGTGTGGACATAGTAATCAATATAGGTGCACCCACATACGTCTTCAATTATAAGCCTCACAACATTCTGAACTTGGTTACTCAGAGGTCCAGCTTTCACCATACTTTTTAGACATAAAATGATCACTTTGGATACACAAACCATAAACTTTGACAAGATTCTTCTGTGATCTCTTCCGCATTGTATAAGGACATGACCTGTTAAGTCTTCTTTCCCTGTGCTTAAAACTTCATCCTTATTCAGTAGGCAGTTGATTAAGAGATGGAGTTTATGCAGAGCAAATTCCCCAAGATCAGGGCATTCATTTAGCAGGAAAAAGGTGATTTTGAGCAAGCTCCAAATTTCTTTCTCCATTTCCATGTCAGGCTGATTAAGCTTCAGTACGGAGTTCACCAGCAAAGTGATCCGAGCCACAAGAAACGAGATCGCTTGGGATGCCAAAGTTTTGTCATCCCCATCATATGGCATGTCTCTTCTTCTTGTGAACTTCCCAGATATATCTGCCACAACATGCATGGCAAAGAGTCTGTCTGATACGAATGGAGATCGCATTGAAATCTCAACAACGGTTAATAGCTTGGTGAAACATGCATGCATTTCCGAAGGACTGAAACTTAACATCTTGGACATAAGGATCTGCAAATTGCCTCAAATATATAAGAAATAAATACTATAGTATATTATCATTATTATTCACGATGTATTCAGAGACTTGAGCACAATAGAAACCTCATACAAAATATGTAGAGCATCACATTGCATGGATGGTGGGAGTTCTCCATCTAGCATATTGAACATTGAACTCATCAGCTCCATAGGAGGAGAAAAACGAAAACGTCTTCTTGATAGTATAATATGTAGACATCTTAACGATGTTGCTTGTAATGGCAGTGCCTTATCTTGGCTTAAAAACGAATGAAGCAGGTCTACCTGAATCAGGAAGTGAAAATACATTAACTTTTATAGCTTCAATTGATACATACTTCACATATTTCAATTCATTATCACCAAGAAGTAAATTACACATTTAATTCTTTTGTACCCCTCCATCGCAAAATAAAAGTAAATTTTGACTTGGCACATTCTTTAATTAGAGTGTTTGAGTCAAATACAAAATGACCATCAATAAGAACAAAAGAAATAAACTCGATGATCAAATCAATGTCTGCAAATATCTTGTAATGTTTACTAATGGGCAAAAAAGTAAATTCAAAACTCACCCAATTTATTTTTGCCTAGACAAAATATGCCTTGTAGACAAGATGGAAGACCTGTTGATATGGTCACATCCAATGATGGCTCTCTTCTTCACTAGAGCTCCAAAAGAATTTATAAAAAGTACCCAGCCCAAATATGCAACTCTAGAGGATAAAAGCATTTTATTTTAAATAGCCCAAAAAGAGAGTTGTTGCATTTATTTTGAAACAGGAGTGTACAATAGCCAAACCACAAGAGCCTAAGACATGCTATTTCAGCATTTCACCCACTGATCGAAAGCACAAAGGGAGATTGCGTCAAACTGCAGTCTCTTTGAATGCATTGTACAGATAATGAAAGACCTGAAATACCACAGTAATATATGCTAAGCAGACATAACACATAACAGTCCTAACTAATGCACAGAAAAATCATGCCTACATCTTGCTGCACTATCCAGCACAAGCCTAATAAAATCTTTCGATGTGGAAGAGTTAAATACAAACATAAAACCACCTGGAGGATCAGAATTATACCTGCCTAGAAATCAAGAGTGCTGATCTAGAAGCAATTATCGAAAGTGAAATCAGCATAGTTGGCACAGTATCATCTGCTAAACCTGAAACCAGCTTTAGCCCTTCCTGCAGTGAGTGAACTGTGAGTTAGGGAGAACTGACCTAAATCTACGACTTAAAGCTCATGGTTCATATGGTATGATGCATGAAGGTAACCAAACCAAACAAACCCAGTAAATCCCATACATAGTTAGGGTCTAGGGCGTATATTTTTCCTCTACCCCAAGGGGTACAAAGGTTCTTTCCTTGAAGACCCCGGGGTTACTGCATAAAGGTGGCAACATGAAATCAACAGAGAAAAAATCATGGCTATTTCGTGACTGCCTCATACATATTATGGTGGATTGGAATTTAATCCGGTCTAGGCAGGTTCAATATGCCCAATTGTATAACAAGGTATTTGAAGCATTTGACTCTAAAATTCTTAGCAAATTTCACATCAGGAAGGTCAGCCAAGGTCCCCATGTCACAATCTGTTGTTTAGGATTTCCTTCTAGTATATTTTAAATATTTGTTGATGATCCATTCCCCATTTCTACTCTATTTTAATTATGATTCTCCCAAACAAGTTATTTTACCCTAAAATTTGGCACCTGCTACACTTTTATTACATTAAAATCCAATTAATCTGCTCATTAGAGTTTATCCGTACATATCTCAACATAATGTGTTGGGCATATCCAATTTGCCATATCTAACTATGCTAACCTTTGTAAAACAAAAAAGAAAAACAAAGGAGAAATATACAAACCTCATACGCTCTACTAGACACTGCTGAAGAGCGTCCTAGTTTTGCAAAAGAACGAACTCCTGCTAGCCTACCAGCAAGTGGCATTTCAGATGATAAAACTATATTTACTAGCATCTCCAGGAGTACACATGCGAAGTCATCTGAAATCTCACAAAAGCATCCAGCAGCAAATAATGAAGCCTTGACCTAATAAAAGATTTATATTAGAATCAATCATGCATCCAAAGTGTTAGTTTATGATAGTGCTGAAAGTAACAAAACTTCATGTCGTAGCATTGACGAAGTACTTTGGATAGTATCATAACAGTCATTATTGCCATAATAAATATAATTGTTAAGAACAAAAGAACTCTATTGGATTCCCAAACCCAATATCTGGTTTTTTTTCACAAAAATAGAGTTTTCACCGAGAACTGAAAATGACCATACAAATAAGCCCAATACGTAATATAATTATCCTGTAACACTGCTCAAGTTGCAGTACATATAAGACCAACTTATCAAGCAAAGGAAAATTTTAATCTTCAAAACTCGAATAAGGTGCTTCCTTTCCTCTATTTGGGTCGTAAAAAGACCAGAGTGCAAAACAGCCAGCAACTCCCTTTGCATTAGCAACAACCAAAAAGAAAAGGCATAAAAACTGCCCAGAGTATGAAGTGGACATGGGGTAAAACAAAAATAAGGTAAAATGAAGATCAGCTGTCAATCTAGATATCCAAGCCCACAGGTAAGCCAAATACTCAAATGAGCCTACTGACCAAGGAGGGGGGGGGGGGGGGGTCTAACTAAACAAACAAATCAGAAAAAGTTGAAAGATGTATCCAATGTTCAAGAGCGCATGTTAGACAAGCTAAAAAAACCTTGAGAATGTTATTATATTGCCAAGGACATAGTAAAAGACACATAAGATTTCCATATATACAAGAGGACAAGAAACAAGCATAACCAAAAGCAGAACTGCCAATTGGAAAACACTGACTTTGTTTCCATATGTCAATGACAATGAGCAAGGTACTAAGTAAACATAATTATAATACGCACAGAAAGAAATGAGTTACCACTTTTCAAAGACCATGAATACACCCAATAACAAAGGACAAGTTTACAAAGAGTTCCGATACAAAGGCCACAATGTGTATGCATTTACTGTCATGTGTCAGCAATATTGAAATTAGAGGAGACAATACTGTAAGAAAAAGATTATCAATGGGGAGCTTTATTTGCATGTGCATGCACCAAATTAGGTTGAAAACCACATAAAGAGCATATAAATTCTTTGGATACGAGCAACAACTATAGCTAATGGGCACATCAAAGCATTTACGTAGAAACGCTTGTATATAAATTTCTAAAAGTAAACAAAGAGGGGGAACTAGAATATCCAATATTATTCATAAATTAGAACTCCATTCTGTGATGAACATTTATAGATTGTGAACGTCAGAAAACTTCAGCAACAAGCAACGGTCTTATACTTACCTCCAGAACATGGCATGACACAACACTAGATAAGATAAGATAGCGAATCTCAGCATTATCTTTAGCAAAATCAGACCAGCAACCAAAAAGAACTAATGCCAGTGCTCTAATGTCCTCGTCACCAGAGTTGAAACATAACTTTATTCTCCTCAAAAGTTCCAAGTGATTCTCTACCTTATATCCCAACAGAATTCCTTTGTTTTTCCTATTGGGACTTTTCATTTTCCTCTGCTTTAACTCTGACAATAAAATCTTTACAACACATAGCTTTGTGTGTTTGTCACCCGATACAAAAGCGTCAGCCAACCGGAGAAGGATGGCATTTGCAAATAGCTTATCCTCTCCAGGGACTAAGCCAAACATGTCATATTCAGCCATCATAAGCTCAGGCTCCTGGCTCCACCACTCCAACCTAGCCCCAACCTCTTCTATGGCTTCAGTACGCTTCCCTGAAAACACATGATTAGAAAGTAACATTGAATTTTCAAACTCCCTCCATTCCGAAAAGAAGAAGAAGAAGAAAGTACGGTTGGACTTTGAAGTCACGCACACTATTCTCTAATTGAAATTTAGCAATTGATTTTTGAACTTATGGGATAGCAAACTCATAACTAATCTTCATAAATCCTACAAATAGAAACCATGTTCAGTACTTCAGTATAATTCAATCATGTACATCAAAGCAAACCCCATCAATATCTCATAGCTTGATTGAACTTTTTCTAATTATGTTTAAATTTAAGTTTAATAGTAACAGGAGCATAACAATATCAGATGTTGAATTTGCAACACAATTCTCATCAATTTGGCATTTGTAGATTGAACATTAGCGATAAAAAGGGGATTTCGGAAACAAACTCGTATTGAAGAAAGTGATAGGGGGCTAACCAGGGTTGCTGGACCGTAACGCTTTGTCAAGACGAATGCTCCAATCCATGGCACAAGCTGCTGGCGTTTTCTCCATAATCAGGTACGGTAAGATCCTTGTTCCTTTGGGTTGTATCGCTCCCAATATGGATTATCAGCGATGAACAGCTCTTAAACCCTAGGGTTTTTTGTCACAATTTCTTCTTTGGAAAACGACCTCTACAAGTTTTCAAGACGGCCTCCATAAGAAAATCTCTAAACTTCAAAATGGAAAAAATAAAAAATTAACTTCGCTCCAAGATTTTAAACATTATAATATTATTTATATTTAAAAATATTTCATCTATTTAATAAAATATTTTTTACACATTAATTTCAAAAAAAAATTATTGATAAAAATATATTAAAATATATTTCTTACAGTTCACAGAAATCGATCTAACCGGTTAACCTTAACTTGTCCCTTAACCAATAATTTAACAAGGACCAACCGGTTATAAGTGACCCTTAACCAACCCCTCTTTAACCGGTCAAAATGTAACTAATTCCAGTCCGAATTCAAAACTTAGGGGTTGTTTAGCAATTGTCGAATGGTTTGATGCAGAATGATTAAGAGGCTCTCATGATATAATGCAAAATGAAATATAATTGTGTACGATGAAATTAGAGTTCTTAATGGTTAAAGGATATCCAGGATACAAAATCATTAAAAGGGTTTTAAAACCATTAAGAGGCAGACTTTTTTTTGGCCAAACAAAATTCACTTATTAACGATTCAGATGTTACCTCTTAATAAAACTATTAAGAGGCAAACAAACAATTAAAATCAAGATCAAAGGCAACAAGCATCAACTCCACTTAATACAATCTCTTCAATGTATCACAAGGATTTAAGCTAAGAACTCTTCTAGGAAATTAGAATAAAATCTAAAACCAATTCCTTCCGTTAAATGAGTTACAAACCCAAAACATAAATTAGAAACACCAAACTTTCAAAATCACACTCAAAGAGAAAGCTCTCAACTTACATTAAATTTGTTTATACAACAAATTTATACATCAAGACTACTTATTATATCGACGATTTGATAACCCACGAGAAAGAAAATAGCAGCCCATAGCAACACTAAGAAACACTCGGGAAGGATAGTCGATCTCTGAGAGTATCAAAAATGGATGAAGCTGCCGAATTCTGTTGTAAAGTGTTTCTGAGGCGACCCAGCAACTCGCCGTCTTTAGTCTGTGATGCAGCATCTGCAGCTTCCTTTGCCATGCCTATTCGAGCATAAGCCTGTTTCATGCAAATACGTTTGTTTCATTAATATGGATACGGTTTAGCATCAACTCTATGAGATGCAGGTATTCGAGATATGAAGATACCTCTGCTCTTTCGCGAGGATCCGCAAGCTTCGTGATGTACTTTAAGGCTTCAGCTTTTTCATCGGCATCAATGCATGCCTCCACAAATGGCCGAAAACCTGTCAACAGTCACACCAGAAATATGAATTCAATTACTTGCCATCAACAATTTGAACTAACCAAAAGATCATTGACCCAGCGGTGGTAAATCCTAGCCTCGTGGGAGGTCAAGGGTTCAAACCATATCAATGGTGAGAAGTGTGCGAGTATTTGCCGTATATAAATATTGTATACCTAGTTTGAACAATCCAGCAATGATGCTATAAAGTTTCAATTTTATGAACCAGACAGCCAGCTATGAATACTAAGTTTCAATTTAATGAACTAGACAGCCAGCAATGGGAGTTACTCCATCCGTCCCAAAATAAGGGTGCACATTTCCATTTCAGTTTGTCCCGAAATAAGTGTCCACTTTCAAAAGCATGTACCTATTTCCAATTCTACCCTTAATTGGATGGAGAAGTTCATTACTTCATCTATTATTAAGAATAAAATTATTATTTAATTAATTAAGAAGTGTAATAATTACTCATTTTTTAAAATTCTCTCTTCTTTGTGGACATTTATTTTGGAATATAGTGAACAATTCAACAAGATTCTTCATACAAAAGTACGGATCCTAAAGATGTGTTCTCGAATTCGGAGAGAAGAAAAGAAAACAGATGGAAGGAAAAGAAAGAAAAAAATATATTTTTATTTGTGTTCTCGAGAGGGAAGGAAAAGAAAGAAAATAATGAAGAGGAGAGAAAGGAAAGGAAATATGTCAATTTACAAATATACCCTTTAAAAATATATCTTTTAAGTTACAAAATGAAAGGTTGGGTAGTTTTGTATCCTTCCCTTTCCTCCCTCATTTGGGAGGAAACTTGTCATTATTTTCCTTCCGTTTCCTTTCCTTCCCTAAAAAAGTTTCGAGAACACGGGGTTTTTCCTTCCCCTTTTCCGTCCCTTTCCTTTCCTTCGTAATAAAGGCTACGAGAACAAGCGTAAATGACGTAGAAGACCGTACCAATTGGAGGCCTTTTCTCCTTTGAAAACTTTTCCAATGCATCCCAGTCCCTGATTGTTGCCAAAGCAAAAACTTTTAGCCAATACCATCGTTTCTCTGAAACCTGATTCAAGATTTGAATAATTTCAATATAAGTATTTGCAACATGAAGAACTTGGGATTTTAAACAAACAAAGATCCCTAACGTAAAATGTATTGATTAGCCTCAAAGACATTCTTACAACATTAAATCAATTCAAAGTCACAAAATTCATATACTAATCTCTGACCTTGAATTCTGTTTTAACTTTCAGTGCAGCCCGATGATTGCCCAATACTATACATGTCCGAATAGTATCACTAATACTCGAATCAACAAATATTGGTTGCTTTGTACTTACTTCTAGCTCATGCTGTATCCTGCATTAAATGTAAGATACAATGACTCAAGACATGTACAAATACATAAATCAAACTAGCATTTAAAACTTTGAGCAAAGTTGCTGCATTGTGAGGAGGGGAGTTAAGAATTCAAATCAAATGATCTGTCATCTCTCATAAACAAAAAATATAAAGAGGGTGTTAGGAAAGCTATTCATATGCTAAATGAACATGATCAGAAACAGCCAAGAAACTACTGAACCAGTTGGAATGTAACAACAGGACTTGGCAGTCACATAGGAGTATATGCAAAGTGTTATTAATGTTTCCAGGTCAATCTACATTTCCTAATTCGTAACTTCTTATTGTTCTGATATTGAGCTTAGGGGCTGTTTGGTGGTTTTTCATTAAGTCTTGTATAGATAAAGCTGTCTATAGATTGGGAAGGTTTCTGTTTGGGAGGGCTTTTTCATTGATGGAATGAGCATGTTTTTTAATTGGGAAGCGCAGGTTTGGAATAAACTTGGCTTTCTGCATTAAGCTCCCCCTAGAAGCTTATTGAATAAGCCACTTTCTAGATTATTAATCCACTACCAAAGAGTCATGTGTAGCTGACCGAAAAAGCTGTGTCCCATTAAAGCTCATTAAGCTAAACAGGCCCATACCAAAATTCCAAAAACAATTGAGCAGCCACGCTATCTTAAATGCGTTTCAATTTACAAAGCACATCATACCTTAATAATCTTGCATGTTCTTCAGCTGCCTTTGACTCAAAAACATGCTCCTTTGTTTCAGAGAAAAGAGACTGGGTTTTTTCAATAAGTTTTATGCGTGGACCATGAAGTGGAGATCCTCTACTTGCCATTGGATTCTTTGCTATCTCCCAGGATTCTTTCCACAATAAGAAGGCAACATCCTGCAGCATTATATAACTGCTTCGTTAGGAAATGAAAAGAACTAGCAATCTACTTCTACCATGTGTCACTGTTCATGAAAAATTTTGTACACCATAACTACTTAAAGAATTCATATACGAAAAAATCTTCTTCTGTTTCTGAAAGAGGAACAGGTGGAAAATTTTGAATCAAGGTTCTGGATATCATCTATAGAACACGCTGTGGCGGTAGGAAATTTAAATAGCTTAACATAAATTCATGGAAAGTGTAGGTGAAAGACATTGGAGTAGATAGAAACCTATAGTAGGACCAGTTTGTCACATAAAGTACAACATGAAGAAAGCCTGCAGGGAGAGCTTGTGGTTTCCAGTCATACAAGACTCTTTTTCATTCTGATTTTACACTCTTAAATGAAGAAAAAAGGATAAATATAATGAAGTACTTGAACCTTATGTTATCTTTAAATTAGCAAAGAAACATCAATACAAATTTTCAGTGTAAGTAGTAAGTACCGTTCTTTCTTGTCCACTTACTTAGAATGTGCTTCCACGATTTTTGAACAATTTCTGGTTTTAATGAACATATCTTATAGCAACTTTGCCATCTATTACTAGCCAATTTCATATCTATAAGATTTATGTGTCAATGCAAATAATCAAACATGGTACTTTCCCATTCCTGAAAAGCTGAAACTACATATTTCCCTCTACTGATTCTTTCACCATTTTTCCGAGCATTCTCGAGTCAACAATTGTATTCATATATAGTGTTCTTTATCCACCCAAAGCCCCAAAGCACCAAACTTTCTCAGGTCATCAGATCGCTAAAGCATTAGAAGGTACCTCAGCCACTTAGTTCCATTTTGACACCTTCTAGAACACTCATCCTAACCACTTGTGGACAAAAAGCATTGACAGAAACACCCTACTCTACAAGGCCCACTTCTCTCTGCCCAATGTGCAGTGATGACACCATGGGTGATTTTAAAACCTAATGTTTTGGGACTTGCAACCTAGATATAAAAGAATGTTCTTCTTTCACAAAGATGACCAAGAAAGAAGAAGAGCTCAATTTAGGATAACCAGTGCACATATGAGGGGGGGGATATAATTACTATTACATAACTGCAAATGCATGCATTTTTTCAAGTACTAATGGAAGTTAATCGAACAACTGCAGAGGGAGATAGTAAATCATCAGCTGTTGCTATCTAGCTTATCAAATAGATAGTAAATCATCAGCTGTTGCTATCTAGCTTATCAAATAGCATGTGCATCTCAATCAAATCTAACCAGAGCTTCCAATCAAGATACAGATAATGGATGAAGCAGAGTTGTACGTGTTAGCCATTATAAAGCTGGAATAATAAAAACAACTGACAAGATAAAGAGAGTTATCTCATACAATATGCATAATAAAAAATCTAGATGAGAAGTATTTATGCAGGCTTGAGGAAGAGCATACTTGCTTCCTAACCTATGGCCCAGGAGAGCAACTATAAAAAGTGGTATGAATGTGTTATAATAATAGAATGGGGAAGGAGATGAGAAGGGGAATCAAATTTAGAATTCTGAATCCAGACTTACATGAAGCTGACCAGTTGAAAGAAAGAAATCTTTCAGAAACTCATGCTTATAGCACCTGAAATGGAAGGACAGCAAGATAAAAAAACCCATGTTCAAATTGTCATTCCAATACAGTTTAGCAGAAACAAACTAAAAGAAGTTAAGCTACCCTGTCTTACCGGGCATAACATACAAATAAATCGCGTGCAAGAGGTCTAGCTTGTATCATCCCGAATAACTCCAATGCCGGTCTCTATACAATTCAAAAGACATTATTAAAATAAGAAATAAACATAACTAGGTTAACTTTCAGTATTTTACCGTTATTCATTCAATTTTCAAACTGAAGTATTATGCCAATTGAAGTATATAGAAGCAATACCTTCTGCCATATATGAAACAAAACAAGATAAACAAGATCTGTATCACCACTTTCAGCTGCCTTTGTCAGGGCCGTATCTTCTTCCCCTATGCCTAGTAACAGAGGAACCTGAAAAGTCAAACGTATCATATGCAAAGTGTGCATTACATTGCTCTCAGGAACTTTCTACCTCCTCGACCGGAGAACACCAACAAGGCGACAACTTGCCTATAACACTTCTTTGAGAAAAATAGTAGTCAACATGACTGAATTTCACTCTCAACATTAAGTTCATTAAAAACAAAAGGCGGGAATAATGATCCTAACAGAAGTAGACTACCTGCTTTGAGGAAAGAGGTTCATGTTCAACTAGCATAGCAGCTAATTTCCGGCGACCAGTCTGATCTGCATGAGCAGCAACTGCAGCATAAGAAATGCCTCTGCACAATTTCAACTGAAACCCCCCAAACAGTTAGCCATTGAATTTGCATGCAAATGATAAGGTGCATTTTTATTAAGGCTGCATGCCCATAAAACTTTGCACAACCTTATCAAGTAAGATGTCAAGGAGAGCAGCATCAGGAATTGCTGATGATACTGTTAACTTTGAACAAGCCCAGTGCATGATAACCACTTCCTGCATGAAGCTCAAAAGAAATTTAATGGGTTAAACATATATCATTCTATAATGGGCTAGTTCAAGCAAAGAAGGATCTCATTTGTCCAATTAGATTACTCACTTTTCATAAAGGAAAGCTCTTTAATGTCTTTCCTGCTTTGTCATGCAATAATGGAAACGAAACATGGACACACGAAATTACCACTAATGGACATTTTAGAAGTCCACAGAAGCAAAAAGTGATGGAAGAAAATGTATGTTGAAACAAAAAGTTGTAATAGTTCAAATTAATGAGAATCACTCGGCAGGGACTTGCAAACTCCCACTCATAGGCCGTACACAGAAAGACAAGTCCTCACTTCCCTTAACATTCCTACAAAAACTAGGTCTTCATTGATGTCATTTTCTTGTTGTTACCATTATTTTTATTTTATCAAAGCAGGACCACTGCAGCTATTGCTATCTTTAAGGTGCCACTCAGAGTTTGAAGTCAATTTACTTGTCACCTAAGACCCAAGTCTAGATGAATGAACTGACGCTATGCACCTTTCAGTTGTGAAGCAGATATATGGCCCAGTGTGTATAGGTGTTAGGCTGTTAGCTGATACAAAATGAACAGCATTTGGGATCAAATTTAAAGAAATATGTTGTTTAAAACTAAAAATACAACACTTATGTATTCAGGAGTTTCCAAGTTTATCGAGGATCAGACTGATTTGGTTTAAATCATAAAATGTCACAAAGTGCAATTCAAATTACCATCGCCACATATACTATAGCCTAACTTTCAAAGATGAAAGACTACCGAGTCCCTATAAAGCCCCCACCCCCAAAAGAAAGAAGTATATTTGGGTAATGATAAAGAGCATAAATATCAAAAATAGGAGAAACGGGAAACACTATTAATCGCCTTGATACATGAACGTAAATTCTAGTAGAAAGCTGGCACATGGGTCGGTATGCCGTGTTAAGAGTAGTGGTGCTTGAAGAAGAGTAAAACATCCCTCGGTAGTGGAGGTGCATGCAATGTATTAATGCATTAGATATAAGGGTTGGGTTCCGGTGAGAATGAGAGTCATGCTGAGAAGGGTAAGAAGGGATCTCCACCCTTGGATCAATCCTAATTGAAAAAGTCCATTAGATCAACACTAATGAGAAGCACTGGATAAATTCCCTTCTAAAGCGCAATTCATGGGTTGGTTTGAGATTAGAAAGTGATCAAGGGTCCAAACCCTTCTTACACTTCTCGCCTTAACCCTATTCTCACACGATCCTTCGTCTAGATATGAATATACATTGTGACCTTAAAATGCTTGAGAATAACTGCTTCATCTTGAAGAAAAATGCCTATGTCAGTGGTTGAGGGAGCAAGAGAGTCCAGACAAATACCGTCATATTGACAGCAAGTCACAAAGTTTCAAAAAAGGACTCCTGATGTCCCCCGCCCCCACCCCAAAAAAAGAAAGAAGACATGAAAAGAACAAAGGGAAAAAAATTCCAGAGCTAAGAACATGTAGGTCAAAAGAACTACAGAACATCCTAGTACAGACCACTACGATTCTTGCAGAAAGTTGGTACATTGGATAGTTTGTCCAGCTAACTATGGTAATGCTTCAGAAAAGTACAAGATTCCTAAACATGAAATTATATAAATACACATTTTTATTATAGAAGGAATAGTTTCCAGATTTTTGGAGAAAAAGCACTTAATGCCAGTGATTGAGTGAATAGGGGAGTCCACCCGAAACTCTGGTCATGCTAAAGCAACGTAACAGACAGCATAGTGTAAACCTACCCCCAATCACAACTACCACACCAAGGAACAAAAAAAGGAGGCCAACTATATGTAGAGAAATACCCAAAAGGAACCCCGAAGAAATACATGTAGCAAAATTACACAGTGATGGTACGACCTCAAATGTACAGCCAACTTAAGTGACAGAAATTTTCCTCAGTTGCTTGCCTCATTATTAGGAATTGAATAACCTGCTATGTGCCAAGCAACGTACTTCAACTCTCTATCCCTCCAATCCCCCCTCCCTCCCCCTGTCCCCAGGGGCAGTCTCGCTCTCTCCAAAAGACACAAAAACAGGAACATTATGTGTCCACTAAATATCAAAAAGATAATATATCAATATCAAACCCATGAACTGTTACTAGTTAGTTATCTCTTCAGTATATAAAGGTTAACAGTGTCATAGTAAAATATTCCACAATTTTCTTCAGGTGTTATTAAGCAGAACTAGTTGATGCTAAAAGAGAGCATTAGACCAAACCTAGTCATATCATAGTGAAGATCAAACTAATTAGACCATGCCCTAGTCATATCATAGTGAAGATAGAACTTACTTGGTTCATTCCAAGGTAATCTGATATCCTCAGCGCCAGCAGATGTTGGTGGGCATTAACCAATCGACCGATCAAAACTGATGGTGTAAGCAACTACGAGCAGAAAACATATTAATATAATGAAGAATACTCGAGAGCAATCCTGAAACTGAATTCTCTTTTGGTGTTAGAGACCTTATATTGATGTATACTGAGTGGAATCCCAGTCTCCAGGCTGCGTACAGCATTTAGAACCCGCAATGTTTTACTCATCTCCTGAATGCTCTCACGTTGAAATTGGCTGCCAAAGCCAACTGGATATCACTACCGTAACAAAAATTAGAAAAGCTTAAAATCTATTGAGGAGCCAGTAAGTTGATAGCTAACCACATTTTAGTAGATTATAGAAGGCATATGATGGTTCAAGAACACTTGCACCACCAGGGACATGGTTTCTCAAGCTCAAAAAAACCTAAGGTAACATCTGAAGTTGAATAGAAGTAACGTATAAGCATCAAGTTCTCTAAACTAATCATTTGTTGTTTTCTCTACCTTTTTGCTTTGTTGATGCCGCCAGTTCACTCATTACATCCCATAGTTCTAGTGATGACAAAGAATTCACATATTATGATTGTCTACAGTACATTCTACACATGCATGGTTTGAGCGAGCTATAATACAAACAAGCTCAATACACATGATCACATATTCCTCAACGTATTCTTGCTTGTGCATACTTGTCTTAGGGCTAAAAGAAGACATCAACAACCGAAAATCAACACCTGAAGATTTCATGGTTTGAGCTATGACAACGAACAACCAGAACAACCAGGTGGCCGTCCATTTTTTGCAAATTTCATCCTGTCGCTATAGCAGCTATGAAGAGATAGGTACACTTGTAATCATATCAATTGCATCTTTGATCAACGTAACAATTGAGAAGATTAGCATTCTGTCAGATCAGTCAAATTTTTACGCACCCCCTTGTGTTAAATTGATCATTTATGTTAGTTCATTTGTTTTAAGCTTGGACAAAAGTGATTTAACTGATATGAATATGAAAGTATGAGTTTGTGTTTAGTAAATCTTTTCATGTTAATAAGAGTTCAAACAACGGTGATTTTATTTTTGTTTATTTTGCCATTCTCTAATAGGCTTAAATATACTTCTACCTCCGTTTCAGATCTTCCCCCGAGCTCCATTCCTGTATCATAGTTTCGATGTACAGGTGCTTTTAATATTCATTTAAAGGGATTGCGCAAACACATTTCCTAAATCTCTTCTCTACACCCATCACTTTTGGAGATATTACCCCGAGTTTAATCTTGTATCATTCATCTAACATAGAAGCATTTGTACACATTACAATTCTAGATGGCCTTTTTTTAAAAGCTCTACTAGATTTATTTGTAAGAGCTCCAAAAAACTATCACGCTACTAAATCATTTCCCATTATATGCCCTCCATTTCAAGCTCCCAGTCCCTTTGACATTCACCAACAAACACCATCATTTATAAGTTTAAAACGTGTCTGGACTACAACTACAAAGCCCCCACACATCATATTCCTAGCTCTGCCATGATACTAGGACAAGGAGCCGGTATGATCCTCTTTTTAGAAAATAAAACTAACCTTATTAGCTTCCCTATATCCTTAAAGAAAGCAGTTATGGTAAATAGATTGCTAGTCATAGACCATCATATTCAGATGGTAGACTATTGCATCAATGCAGTTGCTTCAATAAAAAATGGACAAATTAAACAAGAAAAGTCAACAGGAACTAATCATCCACCATAACTCACATTTCACAATATATTTTCTAGCAACAGATCAAAACTAACCTACAAAATGCTTGTCCATAGCTTGCAGCCCTTAGTAGCGTCTGTTGTAGCGAAGGATCGAATTCATGGCCTGCAGCGTCAACACAGGCTTCAACAGCCTCAGGCAGCGATGGGCGTATCAGTCTCAAATTTTCATCAGCCTGAAATATGTTGTCATTATAAATTCTACCCAACATTTCCCTCCATAAATCTAGCTCTAAACAATAATCATAAATAGCAAACATGTTTAATTAGTACAAAACTTCCATTCCTAATAAATAATGAATTAAAACCAGGAACAGAAAGTTTTTCCCATATAAGGGGGTAAAACGTACACTTTAAAGCAAAAGGAAAGAAATGAACGCAAAGGTACAATTCACTTCACAATGTTACAGTACCTTTGCACTCCGCCGGTCAAAATGATCCAAGGCATCATACAACAACGCAGCTGGTTCTGTGCTCCCAATCTTAAATATAGATTCAGTGGAAGCTGGAACCCGTTGTAGAAACTCCATATTTGAGTTAGACAATATCCTAGCTCCATCACACTCTGGAATAAGAATAATTGGTTCATCGTAAAGGTAACGAACTGGATCTCCATACGGGCCCACCATCAGAAGCATATCATCCCAATAGAGCAACACACTGTCCATTCCACACCATACAAGTTGCTCTGGAGAAAGAGTAGACTGTATACATGCGATTTTAAAAGTAAAAGATTGTATGTAAGATGAAAGTCACAAGTCAACTCTAGTAATTGATCTCAATGCAAAGAAGTCAAAGTGGGTCTTTTTCAAGGATAAACATTTGAGAAAAAGTTCACAAAAACAACCCAATGTCATGAATTCTGAGCTCATATAACTAACCAAATCAATCAAAATGATATTTTACTAGTTCAGCGAGTGTGTCCATTTCGCAAGAACAAAATCCTTACGGTGAATGCCAGACATAAAAGGAGTTGAATTTAGATAATAGTAAGTGCAATTATCAAGAATACTAATTGCTAGCCCATTGGTGACAGAAGAAACAGATGATATTTATATCAACAAGAAGTTTCACAAACCAACCTCACAACTGTACTCAAATATGATGTTCGAAAAATCTGTGGGCATCACAAGAAGCTGACCATCGTGAGTAAATGACGCCATTAACTTGCCATTATGCGAAACAACCATCTTCTGCAAAGGTCCCAACCCATCGCCCACAGTCTGAACTCCATCCTCTTCGACCAACAACACATGATCTCCAACTCCGAGCAACACCTCCACGTTTCCTGACATAGTATACTGCGGCTCGATCACCGCCATACAAAGGGGAAACTCTTCTAATCCCGCATCCGCGAGCTTAGAGGGTTTAGGGTTTTTCAAATCAGGAATACAGAACAACTGGAAAGCTTCATTGATACATACAACACCATTGCCCCAAAACACACATTCAACCACACTCTGTTCGAAACACTCCTTACCCATGCTAACATTAGATTCAATTATCTTTGCGTGGATGTCATACCTATAAACGGTACCGTCTTGTGTCACACAGACTAGTACTTGCTCATCGGTCCACGACAATCCGATCAACCGTCCACCAGGGTTTCTCCATACGGTCTCAGATATTTGTCGGCCGGCGGAGTTGTATATACGGAGTTTACGAAGGGCGGATTCGGCATATAGCTGGACGATCTTGGAGTCGTCGCGGATGACGGCAATTGGACCGCCAAATGGGGCGCAGGCGACCTTGTTTCGAGCAAGATCGATGTTTTTCCATCGTAATTGATAGAGTTCTGGTTTTCGGTAGTACTTGTCGCCGAGAAGTTGCCACTCTGCGGCGATGGATACGCCTGCCATCAAGTGATCGGCGGTGACCTTCTACCGATCGATGGTGCAACGGGGCTGTCCTATAACGTAAATGCAATGTATTCTATCATTAAATCCTTAAATATATTTTTTTATGAGATATGTAAATGTTTATCTTTTAAAATTTCTTAATAAATTTTTAATTGAGTAAACTACAATTTTGGTCCCTATGGTTTACATAAATCTTCGAAAGTGATGTCTAAACTTCAATAACTATAATTATCGTCTCTACTGTTTATATTTTGCTTTGAAAATCGTCACTGGCTCTGTGAAAAAACTCAATTATGTGAAGGGTATTTTTGTCTTTTTTACACTTTTTTGTCTTTTCTTGTTTTCTTCTTTTTCTTTTTCTTTTTATATCTCTTACACCAACCAATCCATCCTCGTGGTCATCTTCAACCTCTAGCCACCACCCTCACCGTGGCTGACCCCTATGTACCTTTGTCTCCATCTCCGGTCTTCCCATGGCCTCTTTGAACCATAGCCATGATTTTAAGAGGAAATAACCATAGCCATTATGAACCATAACCATGTTGTGAAGGTTTTATTGTTTTACGAAGGTGAAAAGGGAAAGAAGAGAATGATGTGTACAATGTGTGTGTACGTGTATGTTGCAAATCCGGAGAAGACCATGGGAGTGGATTGAATGTTGAAGCAGAAAAAGAAAGGTTGGGGCGGAGAAGACCACTGATGAAGGAAGGTTGAAGAAGAGAGGTTGGGCCGAAGAAGAGCATCGGGTGGAGGGTGTCCTCGGAGAAGACCACAATGTGTGTGCGTGTGGGGGCGGAGATGGAAGGGGGGGGGGGACGGGAGATGCAAACGAAAACACAAAGAGAAAGAGCGGTGGTTCAAAGCGCTCACAGGGTGGTGCAGTGGTCTTGGTTGTCGATGGTAGGTGGTGCAGTCGTCTTGGTAATCGAATATGGTGTCTGTTGGTCAGATGTATATACATATATATGTAGAGAGAGAGAGAGGGGGGATGTGGTGGTTTATTATGTAACCTCTCCTCTTTAATTGTTACAACCACATCTTAACCATCCATTATTTTCATCAACAGTTACGATTTAATCAGTTTAAAATTGCCCTTCGTAAAAAAAACATGAACGGTTTTAGATGATGTTGAATTTTTTTTAATTTTTTTTAGATTTCTCTTAGATGATTATAAAGTTTCCATAAATTGTAGTAGTTTTCATTTATTTTAGGGATTTTAAATAAATAAAAAAGATTATCCATTTATAAAATGTACTATTTGCCTTTTTTATTTAATAAAATGTTAAAATTGCTATTTCTTGATAATCGTTGGATTATAACTAATTTGTGGTTATTAGAGCATTCCTTACTTTTTCCTTATTATTTTTTTTGCGGAGTTTTCCCTGGACCTAACCCTATTAATATAATATCCATATAAATTATAGTAAGTTACAATTTGGTCCCTACGGTTTAAACAAAATTGGATTACTTGTCCCTGTAAAAATAAAAAGACGAAAATATCCCTAACTTAACGATTTTTTTTTTACAAAATTGAGTCAAAGGACGATTTTGAAAACAAAATGTAAACAATATGGACAATAATTATAGTTATTGAAGCTTAGGGGGTGTTTGAGATTGCTTATTTAAAACAACTTATGTTTTTTTGTAAAAGTGCTTATTAACTTATGAGGTATCAAACTGGAGTTTTGTAAAAAGTGTTTGGATTAGCTTATAGCGGTACCAAACTGCAATAAGCTGATAAGTTGTTTTTTAGTGTTTGGCAAATTTTGCTTATATATGTAAAATGACCAAAAAGGACAGGCTTCTATATTATTGACTTATAGGAGTGTTTGGGTTTGCTTATTAACTTATTTRATTTTTTAACATATAAAAATTTATTTTTCATCATTTATAATATCTATAACAAAAATTTATATCAATAAGATTAATAATTTATATCAATAAGATTACTAATTTATGATGAAATAATAGATTTATAACCAAAATATCAATAACAAAAAATGTCAATCTTTTATAACCAAAATATCAATAACAAAAAAATAGATCATCATTTATGATAAATAATCATCTAGATCTACCTATTAGATCTCTTGCAATCATATATCTAACAACACTCATATATAGATCGTCACTCATACGACGAGAACTTGTGTTTTCATGTGGTTCATTGTTGCTACCACATCCTTCATCATCAACATCAATACGAGGGTTGTATGATTCTTGTTGCGCCATGTCAAATGCTTCATCAAAACTTCCATTCATTCTAATATAATTGTGAATTGCCATCGACGCTAGCACAATATTTACTTGTGTCTCATAGGTGTAATTGACATGCATATCTTTTAGTATTTGCCACCTAGCTTTCCATACTCCAAAAGTTCGTTCAATAACATTCCTCAGTGATGAGTGATAATAATTAAATGTCTCTTTTGCTCCTTTGGGAGCACGTATTGCTGCAGTTTGTCCATGACGGAAATCAGGTATGTGATAACGAATATTTGTTCCTTTGTATGGGGCAAGATAACCTTTAGTATTTGGAGAGGGCCTCGGTGTTCAAAATTGAAGAGGGCCTCGGTGTTCTTCTGAATTAAGTTGGAGTTTGGTCATCAAAAGTGTGTTGTGGGCCAACCAGTAAGATGTTGAGGAACATCTGTGCAACTGTCTACTGTGTGGCTAAGCATCGCATCGGATGCCCATGCATTTGGAGAGACATGATTGCATTCATCGTTTTGCATTTTCTACAAGTAAGATAGATAATGGGTTACATTGTTTCATCTAAGTCCTATCATGAAATATGCTAGAATCAAATACCATGCGAAATTTTATCCCCAAAACTGATAATCTTCAACTATAAATAAATCTATATCTATATCCACAGGTAGAAAGTCAAATTACCTGAAGATGGTGAAATCTATGGCGTTACGTCACGTCGCAGAGAACCGATGTCGGAKAATGTATGCAGGCGGGAGAGCGATTGTATGGTGAGGAGCAAGAGATGCACCTGTAGGTTATCGATCTCTAGGGTTAGTGATACAGATGTAGGTTATCGATCTCTAGGGTTAGTATCGATTTGTTCATCGTATAGGGTTATCGATCTCTAGGGTTAGGGTATCGATTGGAGAAGAGGAGATGATGATCGGAGAACAGATCGATAAGAGATCGATTTGGAGAAGACGTACCTGGAGAAGATCGATGAGAAGAGATCGATTTTGGAGAAACTTGTAACCTGGAGATGATCGATTGTTGGAGAAGACGTGATTTGTTGGAGAAGAGATCGATGAGAAGAGATCTGATCGATTTGGAGAAGACAGAGATCAATTTGGGGGTGTTTATTAGACAGGGTTAAAATGGTAAAATGGTAATAAGCCAATTTTCATAAGTCAGTATGGATTAACTTATAAAAAACGACTTATTACCGGTTTGGTACCGGTATAAGCATTTTTTTTTTTTTACCCAAACACTCCGAAATGACTTATCTCCGGTACCAAACTGAAATAAGTCAATAAGTCACTTTAAAAAGCTTTCCCAAACACCCCCTTAGAAATCACTTTTATAGATTCATGTAAACCATATAGACCAAAATCGTAGTTCTCTTTTTGAATTTTTAAAAGTATAAATGTTAAAAATATATGTATAAATTAATAATGTATAAAAAAATTAACTTTTATAATATTTTTATTTTGATATTAATAATAAAAATGTAAATTCTACAAATAAACATCACATGACCTTTTCAAATGAATCAGATATAATTTTGAAAACTTATAAATATGTCTAAATTTTAAATAAATATATATATATATATATATGTGTGTGTGTGTGTGTGAGTGTCTAATTAAATAAGAACTAATTAGTTTGTGGTAATCGTGAGGTCCAATATGAGCCAATCATTTTATGATATTAATTGTATTACCTTAATTAATAGGTAAATGACGTATTAATAAAATGATAAATTATAATTTAAATGTTTTTCTTATTTGATAGTTATCAAATTCGGTTTCTTTAAGTATCTCAACAAATTTGTATCACAGTCATGTATCACATTGTGGTTGTGAGTGACCTAAAACTCATATCACATCCGTTATCAACCCATGTTCAAAACGTTACCAGTGATATCACAATGTGTATCACAATTGGTTTTGTGTCTTAATGTTATAAATTATTGGGTATCACAACGTGTATCATATTTGTTTTGTGTTTTACTGTTAAAATTTTTTGGCTGGTGAGAGAGATTTTAAAAAGACTCATTTACCCCTATATATTATCAGTAAATTTAAACAATTTGAAAATTAATGAATAATTACCAAAATTAATATGCTTAATGATAACCATTGATTATTAATAATGTGTGTTTGAGATTAAATCTCACAGTTATCTCAAACAATCGAGTTCTCCCTTAATTGGACCTATATATATATATATATATATATTATTTTTCTAATTTGTTATCGATAGAATGCTATATTATCTTTATTGTTTTTTTATATACTATAAAGGTATTAGCACAATGCAGCAAAATACATTTTTATTTTAATGTCTCATTTTATTTTTTGTCTCTGTTGGTATAATACAGTTTATGTGGTTTGAGAAATATAATGGTTTTACTTTTGAACAAAAATAAATTTGAAGATGTCATTAAAAATTGAACAAGTATATCGATCTTAATGTCAAATTCACTATTTAAAAGCCCTATTTTGTGTACAATTTTTTAATTCAAAATTCTATTAGAATTAAATTAGATATAATAGCAAAATAATTTATTTTTGGCTTAACAATATAATTTTTATAAAAATAATGATTCTTTTTAAAATTCAATGATTACCCTAATTATATTTTAGATTTTTTATATTTAAAATGAGATGTTTATTCTATACTTATGTTTATCTGCAGTTAATTATACGAATTTAAAAATAGAGCTTTAATAAGTTATACTTGCGCACAATTTACTTGTAATCTTAAATTTTAAGTAATATGCATTAATAAACAATACTTTATGCATAAAAAATGGTTTTTAAGAGTTTTTGTCAAATGTTTTATAATATAATATAAATATTTTTTTTTATCGTTGATACCATAAAAAACATAGGAATAATTTAATTTGGTGTTTCGTATGGGTAAGCGTTATATATTGTTGTTGGGGTGCTTTTTCTGTTTGTTATCATATATTTGATAAGCATGTATATAATTTGCATTGTTGTGTTATATGTATGAATGTACATTCTTATTTTTTATTGATAAGATTATATGTAAAATAAAATATATGATTTTTATAAAATAGTATTTTAAATTAGATTGGATTGAGAAGAATTTTGGTTAAATGATAAAAAAATAAAATAAAATTAAAGTTGAAGATTATATAAAAAATAAAAGATAAAGTAATATTTTAATTGAGATCGAGCCGAAGAGATTGTAATTAAAGATAATTTAAAACATGAGAATTAAAAAAAAAACGAAAGGAAAGGATGACATGAATAGAATAATGATCCGAGTGCTAGAAATGGGTTTAACCGACTCCAACAAAATCTTGTCTAAAATCTAGATGCAGAAAGTCTTCTCATAAACCAAACGATTTTTGGGAGAATCTGCCGTTGTTTTTTCAAAACAAAACACAAGAAAAGGAAAACCCTCTCTTCCTTCCTTCCTTCAATTTCTTGATCCATAATCTCATGGTTTGACTTTGAGTTTATCCAAATATGGAGGAAGAATCATCATCCAGATCACTCCTTTTGGAGGATTTCGGTCAAAAGGTGGATCTCACCAGGAGAATCAGAGAGGTTTTGTTGAATTACCCTGAAGGGACTACGGTTCTCAAGGAACTTATACAGAATGCCGACGACGCCGGTGCCACCAAGGTTTGTCTTTGCTTGGACCGTAGGTCTCATGCTACCACATCCCTCTTATCGCCTAAGCTCGCCCAGTGGCAAGGTCCTGCTTTGTTGGCGTATAACAATGGCGTTTTCACGGAAGATGATTTTGCTAGTATTTCTAGGATTGGTGGGAGTGGCAAGCAAAGTCAAGCTTGGAAGACTGGTCGTTTCGGGTGATTTTTCTATCAACAACTTACCACTCTCTCTCTCTCTCTCTCTCTCTATATATATATATATATATGTTACTTATGATTCATTATGTGATCGTTGTATTGCATTGCTATCTGTTTATTTATTTATTTGGTTTCTAACAAATGAAACTATATTGAACCAAAAATATTCAGATTGTTTGGTGGATGATTGCTTACGTCAACAAAGAAGTAGGTTGTATGCTTGATAGTCTTGAAGTCACTTTGCCATATCTCCCTATTTATAGTGATCATAGTTCTCAACCCTCTATGAGGCCCTAGCTCATCCAGGATGGAGATGATAAGTATGATGGAATGCCAGAATGAAACCCAGGAATTAATTTAATTGATATAAAAGGGATTGTCTATCTGTGATGATATAAAAGGGATTGTTGTACTAAAGTTTTTTGTCCAAAAGGAGTTTTAGACCAAAGACCTTACCAGCCTTAGTTATTTCCATGTTTTCAAAAAAAGGGCATATTTCTTTGCCAAATAAAGCATGTTGTTGAATTCTTGCCAAGATTAGTATGTTTTTTGTGTACATTTTTTTGCAAGCCGGCGGTCTTCATGAAATTGCTCTACTTTTTGGGTAGAGGACAAGTCTTCTACATCCCACCCCCAAATCCCACCTCGGAGGTCTGCTTACACCTCACCCCAGACCCACTTCCAAGTGGGATTTACCGGGCTCATTTGGTTTGGTTTTACTAGGATTAATGGATTATTGTAGGGTTGGTTTGAAGCACTAAAGAAGTTCAAGTTGTCTAGAAGCATTTTTGAGTACAAGGATTTTAGATTAAGCCAATTGACTCATCCAAATTAGAGGAAGTATAAAGCCAATCATAACATGGATTGCAAGTTAGAGAATCAATTGGGGGTTATCAATATGGTAAATATGTATGGCACAAGGTGTTTAGAGGGGGCGAGGAGAACGTGGGATGACCAACTTAGGATGGACGTGGCGGCCTTTTCCAAGGACATGATCTATGATAAAGGTTCTTGGCGAAGTAGGGCTTGGGTAGTTGAATAGGTGTAAGGACCTGTAGCTAGTGTGAATGGGAAGAAGGCAATACATAGGCGGAGGGTGGGATAGGGGGAGGGTTATGGAGCTAGTGGATAGGCATTCATGGTCATAGGATAGTTCAAGGGATGTGTGTCTTTCCTCATATTCTCTTGATTTTAATGTGCCTTACATTCTTTGTGTTTTAAAAGATTCTTCTTTCTTTGTTGCTTACTTTTAACTAGTATTGGTTCTTATGTCTTTTTCGCTCACACTTTTGCACAAGCCGGAGGTCTTCATGGAAGCAATCGCCTTACCCTTTGGGGTAGAGGTCAGGTTGCATACATCCCATACATCCGAGCCCCAGACCATATTTTTCGAGCGGGATGTACTGTGTTGATTTGGTTTGGTTTTATATTACATTAATTCGGTTGGTAGATAGCACGAAGGGGAGATCGGTTAGGATCGTCTTGATAAATGTTCTTTTATGGGTGGTGATATGCATCACAAATGCGTTTTGGCTCTAAAAATTTAGTTGAAATTGTAAGGGAAGTTTCTTTTTATGATGGTGATGAGACCTAAAAGTTAGGGTAAAAGCATTTGTATTTAAGTTTAGCATTGCTGTAATGTGAATGTTGCATTATGTGAGGGCTAGCTTCTTATGAGAGCTGACATTAAGGCTATAAGCTCAATCTGTAGCAAGTCAACATTTGCTTGTGAACTTTCAGAAGCGCGATCTCTTTTAATACATATGCTTGATCATGATCCTTTTCTTTCTTCCAGTTCCTGTGTTTCTTGATATATGCTCTTTTGCACTGTACACAGTAGTAATTGTATTAACTGTTAATAAATTTAATTATTATTATTATTTTAACTAAATGATAATTGTTTTTTGATTTGCCATCACATTGTTTGTTAGGGTTGGCTTCAACTCGGTGTACCATCTGACTGATTTGCCATCTTTCGTTAGTGACAAATATGTAGTGCTGTTTGATCCTCAGGGTGATTACCTCCCTAATGTATCCACATTAAATCCCGGAAAGAGAATCGAGTATGTCAGTTCATCAGCCATCTCTCGATACCGAGATCAGCTTTCTCCATACTGTGCCTTTGGTTGCAACATGGAAAGTTCTTTCCCTGGAACTATATTTCGTTTCCCTTTGAGGAATGAGGAGCAAGCATCAAGGAGTAAGCTCTCAAAGCAAGCCTATATGGCAGATGATGTTTCTTCAATGTTTGTTCAGTTATATGAGGAAGGAGTTTTCACGCTTCTATTTCTAAAGAGCGTACTTTGTATCGAAATGTATGTATGGGATACGGGGATGCCTGAACCTAGAAAAACTTATTCCTGCTCTATCAGCTTGGCAGACAGTGATACTGTTTGGCATCGCCAGACACTTTTGAGATTATCCAAGTCTATCAATTCTTCTGAATATAAGATGGATGGATTTTTGTTGGATTTCTTGAGTGAAGATATAAGTGGAGATCAGTCTCAGAAGAGGGTGGATACCTTCTACATAATGCAGACGATGGCATCAGGATCCAGCAGAATAGGTTCATTTGCTGCAAGTATGTCCAAAGATTATGACATTCACCTACTACCTTGGGCTGCAGTAGCAGCATGCATCTCAGACAATTCGTCCAGAGTAATGTTCACTTCATACTGTAGTTTAGACTACTCTTTCTTTCCCTTAGGTGTATAAAATTTAGATTGTGGGAATCAAGTGTACTGGAATGTGTGTGTGTTAAAGGGGCTGTTTGGTTGTTTTTCCGTTAGTTACTCTATGGATTAAGCTAAATTGTTGTTCGTTGTGCTAAATAAACTGTCTAAATGACGAAATGACCATTTCATCCTTACTATTTGTTTTTTTTTTCATAACACCTAATGAATTGAAAGAATACCCATTAATCCATAAACAAACAGCCTCTACCTACGTCTTGTTGCTGGAATTTTATTTTCATTTTATATTTTTGTCTAACAGGGTGATCTCCTCAAAGATGGCCGGGCATTTTGTTTCCTCCCCTTGCCAGTAAAAACTGGAATGACTGTGCAAATTAATGGATACTTTGAGGTGTCATCAAACCGTCGTGGCATTTGGTATGGAGCAGATATGGACAGGAGTGGCAGAATACGTTCTCTCTGGAACAGGCTTTTATTAGAGGATGTTGTTGCGTCTTCATTTGTTAAGTTGCTGATTCAAGTGCAACCTATCCTGGGTCCCACCAATTCATATTATTCTTTGTGGCCTACTGGTTCCTTTGAGGAACCATGGAGCATTTTGGTGGAGCATATTTACAAGAACATTGGTGATTCCCCTGTCTTGCATTCAGAGCTTGATGGGGGGAAGTGGGTTTCGCTAGTTGAGGCTTTTCTTCATGATGATGAGTTCTCTAAGAGTAATGACCTTAGTAAATCTCTTGTACAGTTGGGATTGCCTATTGTTCATTTGCCAATTGCCTTGCGAGACATGCTTTTGAAATTTGCATCTAGTGTGCGGCTGAAAGTAGTCACTCCTGATTCAGTGCGCAATTTTCTTAGGAAATCGAAAGCTATTGACAGTATAAGCAGATCTTTCAAACTAGTATTGTTGGAGTATTGTCTCGAAGACCTGATTGATGATGATGTCATTAGACATGCATATGATCTGCCTTTGGTTCCTTTAGCAAATGGTGACTTTGGATCATTCTCTGAAGCTTCAAAAGCGGTATCTTATTTTGTCTGCAATGATTTGGAGTACATGCTCCTACAAAAGATACCAGATAGAGTAATCGATCAGAATATACCTCACCATATATTAAGCAGACTAGCATCTATTGCTAAGATCTCTTCAGCAAACATTTTTGTTTTCGATATTCATTGCTTCCTTCAGTTGTTCCCTAAAATTGTACCTGTTGACTGGAAACATAAAACTGTGGTTTTCTGGGATCCAGAATCCAATTCTAATCATCCTAGTGTAACATGGTTTCATCTATTTTGGAAATATCTTCATGATAATTGTGAAAGCCTGTCCATGTTTGGTGATTGGCCCATCTTGCCATCTCTTGATGGTCAACTGTACAGACCATCTCGGCAGATGAAATTGTTGAATGTGGATAAATTGTCTGACAAGATGCAGGCTCTTCTTGGTAAAGTAGGGTGCAAGATATTTAACAGCAGCAATGGTATTAAGCACCCTGATTTACTCAACTATGTACGTAATGCTGATGGTTCTGGTGTCTTGAAGTCTATTTTTGACGTCATTACTTCAAATGATGGGATTAAAGAAATTTTTCTTAAGACCCTAGAAGCTGCAGAGAGGGATGAGCTTCGTCAATTTCTTCTTGATCCGAAATGGTATATTGGAAACAATATGTCTGATTCTGATAGAAGGACATGCATGCGACTTCCAATCTTTAGAGTGTATGGTGGGGAATCTGCAGAAAACTTCCAGTACTCTGAATTGCAAAACCAAAATTTTTTGCCCCCATCTGACTGTCCCGAGTCCTTACTTTGTGGTGATTTTGTTAATAGTTCATCTAGCACTGAAGATGAAATTTTGAATAAATACTATGGCATCCAGCGGATGGGGAAGGCCAGATTCTATAAACAATATGTGTTTGATAGGGTTAAAGAGTTGCAACCCGAGTTCCGCGACAGTATCATGATGTCAGTTCTGCAGGAGTTACCCCAATTGTCTTCAGATGACCCAACATTCAAGGGATATGTAGCAAATTTGGAATTTGTTCCAACTGCAAGCGGTTCTTTGAAATGCCCAGCAGTGCTCTATGATCCTCGGAATGAAGAATTATATGCTTTATTAGAAGACTCTGATAGTTTTCCTGCTGGTGTTTTTGAGGAATCTAGAACTTTAGACATGCTACAAGGTTTGGGTCTAAGGACATTTGTGTCTCCTGAGGCTGTCATACAAAGCGCTCGACGGGTGGAACAGTTGATGCATGGTGATCAACAAAGGGCTCATTTTAGAGGAAGAGTGCTTCTTTCTTATCTAGAAGTAAATGCAATGAAGTGGTTACCTGATGTGCCAAAGGATTTGTTTTCGCGAGCTGCCAGTGCATTTAGGTCTAGAAATCTGAAATCTGACTTGGAGAAGTTCTGGAATGATCTACGATTGATTTCTTGGTGCCCTGTGCTTGTTTCATCTCCATTTCAATCATTACCATGGCCAGTTGTGTCGTCCATGGTTGCTCCTCCAAAGCTCGTGAGGCTATACTCAGATTTGTGGCTTGTTTCAGCCAGCATGCGAATATTGGATGGAGAATGTTCTTCAACTGCCTTATCTCATTATCTTGGGTGGTCATCTCCCCCTGGAGGAAGTGTTATTGCCGCCCAACTTCTTGAGCTTGGAAAAAACAATGAAACTGTAACTGATCCTGTTCTTCGCCAGGAATTGGCTTTAGCGATGCCTAGGATTTACTCCATACTGATGAACATGCTAAATTCAGATGAAATGGACATTGTGAAGGCTGTTCTAGAAGGGTGCCGATGGGTTTGGGTAGGAGATGGATTTGCAACACCAGAGGAAGTTGTCATCAACGGTTCTCTTCATTTGGCCCCTTATCTGCGTGTCATACCTGTTGATTTAGCAGTGTTTAGAGCTTTATTTCTGGAGCTTGGCATCCGAGAGTTCTTAAAGCCTACGGATTATGCAAAAATTTTGTGCAGAATGGCTAGAATCAAAGGTTCCACTCCTCTGAATGCACAGGAGCTGCGGGCAGCTTTACTACTCGCACAACATCTGGCTGAAGTTCAATTGTATGAAGAGCAAATTAAGATCTACTTGCCAGATGTTTCATGCATTTTAGTTGACGCCACGGACTTAGTTTATAATGATGCTCCATGGTTGCTTGGTCCAGAAAATACTGAGAGCTCATTTGGAAATGCATCTAATGTGGTCTTCAATATGAAAAGAACAGTGCAGAAATTTGTGCATGGTAACATCTCCAATGATGTTGCAGAGAAGCTTGGTGTTCATTCACTTCGCCGGATGTTGCTTGCTGAAAGTGCTGATTCAATGAATTTGAGTTTATCTGGAGCTGCGGAAGCATTTGGACAGCATGAAGCTTTGACAACCAGACTTAAACATATTCTTGAGATGTATGCAGATGGGCCAGGCACTCTTTTTGAGCTGGTACAAAATGCGGAAGATGCTAAAGCTTCTGAAGTAGCGTTTCTTTTAGATAACACCCATTATGGGACTTCATCCGTTCTTTCCCCAGAAATGGCAGATTGGCAAGGGCCAGCTTTGTACTGTTTCAATAACTCCATCTTCAGTCCGCAGGACTTATACGCAATCTCTCGAATTGGTCAAGAAAGTAAATTGGATAAGCCATTTGCAATTGGAAGATTCGGTTTAGGATTTAATTGTGTTTACCACTTCACAGACATTCCTACGTTTGTTTCCGGGGAGAATATTGTAATGTTTGATCCTCATGCATGCAACTTACCAGGAATATCTCCTTCTCATCCTGGCTTGCGGATTAAATTTGCTGGCAGAAAAGTTTTGGAACAGTTTCCAGATCAGTTCTCTCCATTTCTTCACTTTGGCTGTGACATGCAACAGTCATTTCCTGGTACGCTCTTCCGTTTTCCCCTGAGAAGTGCTAAAGTTGCTTCAAAGAGCCAAATAAAGAAGGAAGCCTACTCACCTCAAGATGTCAAATCACTCTTATCATCCTTTGCTGAGGTTGTATCCGAGACGTTGCTTTTTTTGCGTAATGTAGAGACCATCGCCATATATATGAAAGAAGGAGCTGGTAGTGAGATGCAGCTTGTACATCAAGTCCAGAAGGAGCGTATTGGTGAACCTGGAGCTGAAACCAACACATTTCAGCAAATGGTTAATTTTATGCATGAACATCAGCAAGATGGATCAAATAAGAATAATTTCTTGGACAAACTGAGGAGACCTAATGACACAGGTTTGCCTTGGAAAAGTCAGAAACTTCTATTGACAGAGAAAAGCTCATCTGAAGAAAAGTCACATATCTGGTTAACCAGTGAATGCTTTGATGGTCGCCGTGGTAAAAGAAATTCTGAAGCCAGAGACAACAGATCTCATAAGTTTATTCCATGGGCTTGTGTGGCATCATGTTTAAAAACTGTAGAGGTTGACAAAGAATTGAACAATGCAAAAGGTGGAGAAGATTCTCGTGTTGTTACCTCTGACATGCAGGAAGTTTCTGTAGCTTCTGTTGAAGTTAAAAAGAATTTTGAGGGCCAGGCCTTCTGCTTTTTACCACTTCCAATAAGTACTGGTCTTCCAGTGCATGTTAATGCATATTTTGAATTATCATCTAATCGAAGGGATATATGGTTTGGGAATGACATGGCTGGTGGTGGCAAAAAACGATCTGACTGGAACATTTACCTTCTTGAAGAAGTTGCTGCACCAGCTTATGGTCACTTGCTTGAGAAACTTGCATTGGAAATTGAGCACTCTGATTCATTCTATTCCTTTTGGCCAACTACAGCAACATCAGGACCTTGGGCATCAATGGTGCAGAAGCTTTATAGTTTTGTTGCTGATTCTGGTCTGCGTGTATTGTATACTAAAGCAAGAAATGGTCAGTGGATATCAACCAGACAGGCCATTTTCCCTGATTTTACTTTTGACAAGGCATCCTGTCTTGTTGATGCACTGTGTGATGCTGGCTTACCTATCACAACAATTCCCAAGTCTCATGTGGAGAAATTTATGGAGTTCTGTCCATCTTTGCATTTTCTCACACCTCAGTTGCTAAGAACCTTGTTAGTTCGCAGAAAACGTGAATTCAGAGATAGGAATGGAATGATCTTGGCACTTGAGTATTGTTTACTTGATCTAAAAAATCCGATTCAACCTGATAGTTTTTACGGTTTACCTCTGTTGCCTCTTTCCAATGGTTTGTTCACAGTATTTGAGAAGAGAGGGTTGAGCGATAGAGTTTATGTAGCGCGTGGAGATGCATATAATCTTTTGAAGGACTCTGTTGCAAACCAACTTGTGGATTCTGAAATTTCTGACACCGTTCATGGGAAATTATGTGATATAGCCAGAAGTGAATGTTTCAATGTTTCATTTCTGACTTGCCATTTGCTTGAGAAGCTCTTTCTGAGAATACTTCCGGCCGAATGGGTGCATGCAAAGCAGGTCACCTGGATCCCTGGTCATCAAGGGCAACCCACTTTGGAATGGATGAAGTTGTTATGGAATTATCTGAATTCTAATTGTGATGATCTTTCGGTTTTTTCTAAGTGGCCTATTTTACCAGTTGGAAACAGTCATCTCTTGCAAATTGTTGAGAATTCTTATGTCATTGAAGATGATGGGTGGAGTGAGAACATGTCAACGTTATTGCTGAGAATAGGATGTCTGTTATTGAGGCATGACCTTCAACTAGAACATCCACAGTTGAATAAATATGTGCAGTCTCCAACAGCAAGTGGCGTTCTAAATGCATTATTAGCAATTGCTTGTGAACCAGGGAAAATAGAAGGTCTTTTCGTTGATGCATCAGAGGGCGAGCTGCATGAGCTTAGAAGTTTCATTCTTCAATCCAAGTGGTTCTCTGGAGGCTTACTTAATGCAACACATATTAATATCATCAAACAAATTCCCATGTTTGAGTCCTTCAGGAGTAGAAAGTTGGTTTCTTTAACCAAACCTACTAAATGGCTGAAACCAGATGGTATTCTAGAGGATCTTTTGGATGACGACTTTGTTCGTATCGATTCAGAGAAAGAAGGAAAATTATTGAAAAAATATTTAGATATGAGGGAACCTTCACGAGTGCAATTTTATAAAGGTTATGTGTTCAATCGCATGCCAGAACTTGTCTCTCAGCAGGGGTTTCTGTCAGCTATCCTTGATGAAATCCGTGTGCTGATCAAGGAAGATAACTCTTTCAGAAAAGAACTTACGATGACACCTTTTGTTCTGACAAATGGGGGATCTTTACAAGAACCACATAGGTATATTATTAATTTATTTCTTTTACGCAGCTTACATTTTAATTATCAATTATAATATGTAGAGTATTGGTAGGTGACTTTTTCTCGTCATGGGGGCAAATAGTGACCTTATGGAATGTCATCTGTCGTCTATGAAAAATTAAATTTCAAGTTAAAATGAAAAAAAATTTAGATTGCCACCTGGATATTGCACTTAGTCTACTTTTGGTATGCCAGCTAGAGAACATTCATGTGAACACCAACAAAATAAGTTGTCCTTGTTCGGGACAGAATCAGATTTACCCACACTATATAGATGAAACTAAAAGAAATTTTGTGGGTTGAATATGTAATTTCAGACAAAATAAGTTGTCCCGGCTTTGGACAGAATCCTATTTACCTACATTATATGGACTGGCACATGCGATCAATATCCAATTTGATCAACTAGTGTGTTTTAAATTCTCCATTGCGGAATAAAAGATATAGAAGGGGAGTTGTTCAAACCTCTACCACCACAGCTTTCAGCGAATATCAAACAAGGCAATCACTACCACCACACCATACTTTCAGTCACATAGATATGGATACATACATGGTGAAAATACACACAAAAGACAAGCTTACAGTTAGGGCTCATTGAACTCGTAATTTTTTGGAGTGTGGATAAGTCTGATGAGGATGAAAGATGCATGCACCTTCTTCAGCTAGCGTACATGAAGATTCTGAAAATTTATTGAGACATGTGTACCTTGAATAATTTGATCTTTGCTAAAGATGAGAAATTATTGAGCTTAGGGTTGACCCAAATGTAAGCTTTCTCATAAATGAATTTATCGAGTTATTTTTGAGGAACTTGACTCCATGAATGGACCTGGGTGATTTGGAGATTGATTATTCTTCATCGAAAAACTTTTGGGTACTTCAAAACTGTTCATTTCAATTATTTTCCCAGATAAGTAGATGGGCTCACCTTAGGTTTATTCATTGTTGCTGCTAGGTGGAGTCACAATCACACCCTTTGTTCATAGCCGCATCCTTCTCAATCTAGTATATCGTTCTTGATAAAATATGTGCTCAACTAACTTTCAGAAAATTTAAACAGACTTTGCTAAAAAAATTGGTTGACAGGACTTTTGGACAAAATGAAACCCAAATGAAGGCTTTATGGTAATAATGTAGATATGCAAACAGAAATCGGATAGGCCAATGAGCCTTAGTGGATCTTAAAGACATGATGAAGAATCCCCAGAAGATGCAAATGTTCTCTGCAGCCATAATGTGTCATATGGTATCCATGCACTCAGAGCTCACATCCTTTAAAAGTGCACTGGCAGCTACTTTCTATAGCTTACGTGCCTTTCTTTTTCTCCATGACTTTTTATATGTTCTTAGATAAAATATGCTTCGTATTGAAAGAAAAATTGACAATGATCCTCGTAGAGAAAGAAATTGACAATGATATATGTCTTTTACTTTTACAGGCTATACGATCCTCGTGTAGCTGAGCTACAAAAATTTCTGCACAAGGATTCCTTCTTCCCTTCTGACAAGTTCTCTGATCCGGAAACTTTGGAGATGTTAGTTACCCTTGGACTAAGGCAAACCTTAGGCGTTAAGGGGTTGCTTGACTCTGCTACGTCAGTATCTATGTTGCATGATGCAATGGATCCGGATGCTGTTGTATATGGGAAGAGATTACTTGGTTGTTTAGATGTGTTGGCACTCAAGCTCTCAACCGAGGAAGTAGAATTCAGTTTCAATGGGTTCGGGACTGCAGGAGAAAGTGACATCAGCTTGCCTGATCATGAAGCTGATAACTACTCAAGAAATACTTCTGAGGCATTTCACAAAGGTTTTCCTGGGAAGTTGATTGATGAAATGCCTGGAGAAGAGTTTTGGTCTGAAATGAAAGCCATCAGTTGGTGTCCTGTTTATGTTGACCCACCTTTGCAGGGACTTCCATGGTTAGTACCATCTCAAGAAATTGCCGCACCAGATACTGTCAGACCAAAATCACAGATGTGGCTTGCTTCATATATGATGCACATACTGGATGGTGAATGTAACTCAATGTATTTGCAACGTAAGCTTGGCTGGACAGATCGCTTACATATAAATACTTTGTCTTCTCAACTAGTTGCTCTATCCAAGTCCTATGCACAACTCAAGATGCACCCGGAGTCGGATCATGAATTTGAAGTGTCTCTGCAGGAGCATATGCCCACACTTTATTCAAATTTGCAAGAATATGTTGGGACCGATGACTTTGAGCTTCTTAAAGCTTCTCTCAGTGGCCATTCTTGGGTTTGGATTGGAGATGATTTTGTAACTGCGGAAGCACTTGCATTTGATTCACCTGTAAAATATAGTCCATACTTGTATGTCGTTCCATCTGAATTGTCTGTATATAGAGATTTGCTTCTGGCTCTGGGAGTTAGGCTTAGTTTTAATGTTTTTGACTACGCTCATGTTCTGCTACGCTTACAAAATGATGTCAAAGGTTCACGGCTTTCAGAAGATCAGTTGAGTTTCGTTCTTTGTGTCCTAGAAGCTGTTTCAGACTGTCAATTAGATAGAGGAATGTTCGAATCTTCTAACAGTCCATTGTTGGTCCCTGATTCTCAAGGAGTTCTTATGGCTGCAGGGGATGTTATGTATAATGATGCACCATGGTTGGATAGTAATGCCCCTCTGGGAAAACATATCATACACTCTAGCATCAGTCATGATCTAGCAAACAGACTAGGGATTCAATCCCTTCGTTCCATATCTTTGGTCAGTGAGGAAATGACAAAAGATTTACCATGCATGGACTATGCTAAAATCTGTGATCTTCTTGAGTTGTATGGAAACAAAGATTTCCTGTTATTTGATCTTGTTGAGCTGGCAGACTGCTGTAAAGCCAAAAAGCTTCACATAATTTTGGACAAGCGCAAACATCCATGCCAGTCGTTGTTGCAGCAAAATTTAGGTACAGTTTAAATTTTAGTTATTGGAATTACTTATAGGTAACTGAAATGAAATTTATGCTGTGTGAACATAAATTATTTTAGTATGACAAGATATATTGAAGCCTGCTTTACCTGCAAAATGGTTCTTCTGGTTGATCCTTTAGCCATTATGTTGGTTACTGTAGGAATCAATCTCATCTTTATTTTGATGTGCCCAAAGTTCTTTTTTGTTTAGAAAACAACATAATCTTCATTGTCAGTGTTTGTCAGCTTAAGTTAATGAAACTTTACTTGCTGTAATCTGATTGGAGGTTGGACCTGCTTACACTAAGATGAAAAACATCACAGTTAAAAAGCAAAGCACTACACTTCAAGACAACAACCAAATCAAAGCTCAATTTAATCAATACTAACAGAGAAATCACCATCTCCGAATTGAAAATGTCTTTTGACAGCTAGAAATCATGTTCATTTAGTTTAACCTACATCATAGATTCGGATCACATGCAACTGAAATTCAAAGAAGAAGCAAGGGGAATGTTATGTGGAGATGCATTTGCTGCTTGCTCGTCTCACTTATGAAGCCAAAATGATGCAGCCAAGACATGTTGGGCACCCTCACTAATAGAGCTTTTCCCATGCTCCTAATGTTACTATCACTATTTATTTATGATGCATACGACTCTCCAAGACTTGTGATTGGTAGCCACTAGTTAGAAAGGCAATCTCCATCGAGGCATGAGAGGAGGAGCAAGTTGCGATACAAATCATATGTTCGGGGTTTAGTGCTATTATTTGCATATCAAAGTTGAATGTCCAAGCAAGGATGTGTTTTGGAAACCTTCCAGCTATATATGGAGTTCAACATAGTCAGAAGTAGTTAATTCTGTCCCTGAAGTAGTTGTTTTCTGTACATTCTACTCCACAAACAAGAATAGAGAAAAAAAATACCAGACCATTATAATAGGCAAATTATGAAGTCTCTTTGGAAGGTTTAGATTGTCTCATCTGCCTTTGCCAACTGCAGGGGTAGGATCGGTGACGTTGTTAGTCCTTCAGTAGCAGGTAGTTATTAGGCTTCGTGAACTTCTCTTTTTCCAGGTCTAGGTTACGTTTCAAAAATTCTATCGAGTGACAGTGTTTTGTATCTGATGTAATTACCTTCTCTAGTTTTTTGTTTTTGTTTTTTAAGAAAATCTACTAGTACCAAGTGTTTATTAAAAACTCAGAAGAATTGGAATTGCATTTGTGGAATTTCATAGTGTATTGATTCGAGAAACTAGAACAAACAAGTCCTATAATCTAAATGATTGCACACACTTCTTTCATAAATAAGGATAAGCTTGATTGATGACTGTTGAAAAGGCACTCATAAAATTGGTACCTGGAGTGGATTTTTCCACAAATAGATCGGCTGTGCTGTTCCTAGGAGATTAGCATCTGTAGTCTTCCCGTTTCGTCACAAATTGAGTGGTTGTTTTCTTTGAGATTGATGAACTGAAGACAATGTATCAGATTACAGAAATCAACTATTTGATGATCAGCAGGGAAACAATCTGTGATTGGTTAAGTGAAATAAATGGCAAGAACAATTTTTTACCCACATATATCATCCATGAAATATCAAGTTAAGATTATTCAAACGTTGGTTTCTTTGTTCTCCAAGAGTTTTGAGATGTCTAAACATTGCCATGGTGTGATCTGAACAATGATGTGATATGTTTTGTCAATCCATTTCTACCGTCTACATCGTACTGACCACACACATACAAAATGTAGACTATTCAGAGGTAATTTAAGACATGCTCTTTGTATGGGACATACTTATTTCTACTTCTACCTATTTAAAACTTATGTTGCTGCTCTACTATGCAAGAAAAGTAATTGAAGCGAACAAATCCAATATTTCATACATGATGGGGTAAATGTTGTAGAATTCAGTTGCATGAACATGTCCTTTAACTAAAATTTTATTTTAATTGGTTTTGACTAACTGTTCGAGTTTTAGATTGTGCTTTTCTCTTTGTCCAAATATTTTCCTGATAATCATCTTCTACAGGAGACTTTCAAGGGCCTGCCCTTGTTGCGGTCTTGGAAGGAACCAGCTTGAGCAGGGAGGAAATATCTAGCCTCCAGTTTCTTCCACCCTGGGGTTTAAGGGGTGACATGCTTAATTATGGCTTGGGATTGATGAGCTGTTATTCTATAACTGATCTTCCTTCAGTTGTCTCTGGTGGCTATTTATACATGTTTGATCCTCGTGGTATGGCTTTTGCTCCACCTTCAAGTCATTCTCCAGCCGCAAAGATGTTCACTTTGACAGGTATTGGTATTCTGTTATGTTTTTGCTAACTATGTTGTGTTTCTATTGATTGGGGTTACTTTGTTTTCTATTCTGCCTTGTGGCTGGTCATGTACTCTATATAAAGCGAGCTGCCCTACTCCATAATGTGCAAGTTTCTTCTCCTTTTTACGTGGTATTAGAGCCAAATTTTCAATATGAGAACTGTAAGCCCTCTAGATGATGCCATCAATAATAGCTAGTTTACTGCTGCCTCTGCCTTGGCAACTGACTGTTGGTGGTTGCCTCACCATGTCCAGGGGTGTTTGCCTGACCTAAGTGTACGAAAACTCATGCCTGTGCTGACCTTATTGTAGACCCCAAGCCTAGCGACCCTTATATAACCAGGCGTGGCTTAAGCATCTTGAGAAGCACCATCGAAGACCACTTATATTGTATCTACTGTGTCTTTAGGTTCTTTCAGCAATGAGATATCCTGAATCAAAGTTTCCATTTGCATTGGTGCTATTTCAGGACTGGCAAGTACTCCTTTTGCCTTCCATTCTGTATGTTCTAAACATCCTCGTGTACTCTTACTGCTATTTTGGTCAGTGATCTAGGTGCATTTGATGATAGCATCATTGGAGGTTTCTTTTATCCTCTCTCTCCATCTTCCCATGTTAAAAAGAGTTGTTGTCGACCACCAACTCGTGCTCCTGGCATTCCTTAGTTGCAAGGTTATTGTTCGGTTCTATTGAATGGCAGTAGGGGGCTGTTTGGTTGACTTTCCTATCAATCTGTATGTATGAAATTGTCTGTGTGGATTAATCTGTCTGTATAGATTGGGAAGGTTTTTGTTTAGGATGGTTTTTTCATAGATGGAAGGAGTGTTTTTTAATTGGGAGGAACATGCTTGGAAAAAACTTGGCTTTCTGCATAAAGCGCCCTCTGGAAGCTTACTGAATAAGCCACTTTATATATCCTTAAGCCACTATCAGACAGTTATATATAGCTGACAGAATAAGCTGTGAGTCAAATTAAACTCATTAAGCTGCTAACAAACATTCCCCAAGGGTGACTTTTCATCAACTCTTCTACTTTCAGCCCTGAAAAACTAAACTCTGCCTCGGAAATGTTTGATGTTCCTTGGGGAAACTTTAGAGTGGGGAACCTCTTGCTGGTTTTGGGCTCAGCTCTTATTGCCTATGCTAATTTCACTTTTACCAGATTTATGCATCTTAGGTTCTTTTTAGCAAGGAGGAAATATCCAGACTCAAAGACGCCACTTACTAAGTTACTTCTACTGCTACTTCATCTCTGACATGTACTCCTTTAAGCTTCCATTCTGTATCCTTTGAATTCTTTTCACATCTTTAGTCATCGATCTGGGTTCCTCTGACCATATGATTGGAGGTCTTTTTATCCTTCATCTTTTTGTCTTCCTATTTGACAGTACAAAGTACCACATGATTTTTTGTCCTATTGCTCGTGTCACTCTAACCTGTGACACACACAAATTACCACTAGAAATCTTTACACCATCACTAACTATAATAATGGAGTTACTAATGGTGCCTCTCAATGTTTGACTACAAGAAAGTAGTAAGACAACTTTTCCCACCTTATGAGATTTCATAGTGCCTCAGTCAGCCGTCCATACAAAAATCTCCCATATACAAAGATATGTTGGAATCTCGTGATCCTTTTAATAGTGACCTTGCCATGAGAAGTTCTATTAGACATCTCGTAGCCAAATGTTCTCTCTCATCTAGATGGCTGAATTGTTTTGCTTAATTGCAGGTACCAATTTGACTGAGCGATTTCGTGATCAGTTTAGTCCCATGTTTGTTGGTCAAAAAGTTCCATGGTCGGCAGATTCTACGGTTATACGAATGCCTATTTCATCAAAATTCATTGATGATGGAACTGAATCTGGGTGCACAGGAGTGAGACTGATATTTGAAAATTTTATAAAGCAGGCCTCTAGAACACTTGTATTTCTAAAGTCAGTTTCAGAGGTAACGAGAACCTTGTCTTTTTTTTAAACATTTCAGACGTTTAGTTCTTGTAAGATTAAGGTGTTCTCTTGCATTATTCTGATGCAAGTTTGTTATGAATTGAGAAGGTTATACAGGCGGCAATAGTTGTAATTATTGTACTTAGTTTATGTGATTGGAATGCATTTTTGTCTCTTCATCACTCAGGTCATCATGCGGCCTGTCTTGTTTTTGAGTCCTCATCCTTGGCTCTTTCACTGTCAGATCCTTTGTTCAGGGACTGACTTTAGAGACTAATTATTGCACATGAGCCACTAGTTTGCTCTTTAACCTTGTTTGTTCTGTTTCTTTGCAAATTGTCTTGAAGGTCAGCTTATGCTAGCCAAATTAATTGACTTGCATAAACTAGGTATTCTAGTATATCAAACATGAGTAGCATCGGTGTATTCTATAAGAAAAATGACCGAATGTGGCATACGTATCCCCAACAGTTGGTGTTGTCATTACAGCATGATGCTCTGGTTGCTGAAGTTACTTTTTCCTTTTGCACCAAGAGTTCGCATCATCTTCTCTCTGTGGTCAGCATGAAGAACCCTTAGTTATTTGTGCCTGATCACAGTCTCCTTGATCTTTGTCTGTTACCCCTATTCTTTCTATTGCCACCAGGATGAAATAAATAAGTCTTCAGAGAAATGTCTACTATTTTTAGCTGCAGGAAATTTAATCTCTTGCTTGCTAGAGATAATGGACTAGGTAGTTGCTGAATTGCTGTGGTCACTATTTGCTCCCATTCCTTGGCTAGCATGCTCTTTTAAATAAATTTTCTGTGCTTCCAATCTGTTCTTTCAGGTGTCATTATCAACATGGGGGGAGAAAGAGCCACAACCGTCCCAAGATTTTTTAATTTATGTGGATTCATCTCATGCAACAGCAAGGAATCCATTCTCAGAAAAGAAGTGGAAGAAATTCCAGTTATCAAATTTATTTGGTAGCTCAAGTTCTGCGGTCAAGTTACACGTGGTAGATATAAATTTGCACCAAAGGGGAATGATGGTTGTGGACCGGTGGCTTGTTGTACTTAGTTTGGGTTCTGGGCAAACAAGAAACATGGCTCTTGATAGGTATTCTGTTGGAATAAACGAATCATGCATACATTCTTGTCATGTATTATTCTGGTAGACTTTCTCATATAAGTTATCTTAGAAATTAGTGATATGATCATCATATGTAATTGCAAATAATTCAACTTAAAATTTTGAAATGAATTGAGCCTTTGCTAGATTTAGGTAAATCTTGTCGATTCTTTGTATGATCTTACTCTTTACTAATAATCGCTTTTATGAAACTTAGATTGCAACAGCAAATTGTTTCTTAACAGTCATGTTTTCATTCCAGGCGATATCTAGCCTATAATCTGACACCTGTTGCTGGAGTGGCTGTACACATCTTAAGAAATGGACATCTTGCCGAGGCCCGTTCAATGTGGTCCATCATGTCTCCTCTTCCTCTATCTGACTGCATTAGTATGCCTGTTACTGTTCTTGGCTGTTTCCTTGTGCGTCACAATCGAGGCCGTTACCTTTTTATGTACCAAGACAGTGAATCTTTGGCTAAGGCACAACCTGATGCAGGAAATCAGTTAATCGAAGCCTGGAATCGAGAACTCATGTGTTGCGTGCGGGATTCATACATAAGATTGGTGTTGGAAATGTTTAAGATAAGAAGAGATCCGTCAACTTCGACACTGGAGTCAAGAGCAACCCATGCCATTAACTTGGCGTTGAGTGGATGTGGGAGTCAGATATATTCCTTCTGGCCTACATCTAGTGGGAAACCAATACTTACTGATTCCGAAAATGCACATAGCTTAGTTTCAAAGAAGACCCTCAAAGCCGACTGGAACTGTTTAGTTGAACAAGTCGTGAGACCGTTCTACTCTCGCCTTGTTGACCTCCCTGTTTGGCAGCTGTATTCGGGAAATTTAGTTAAAGCTGAAGAGGGCATGTTTCTTTCGCAACCTGGAAGTAGAATTGGTGGCAACGTGCTACCGATCACAGTTTGTGTCTTTGTTAAGGAGCGTTATCCAGTATTTTCAGTGCCTTGGGAATTGGTGTCCGAAATTCAGGCAATTGGGTTCAATATACGAGAAATTAAACCAAAGATGGTTCGTGATCTTCTTAGAATTTCTCCGACCCCAATTGTTGTTCCATCAATCGATACTTATGTGGATGTTCTTGAGTATTGCTTGTTTGATATTCAGTTTCTGGAGCCATCTAATGCTGATGGGCCTAGTACATCTAGAGAAAGTAACGAGCCAGGCAGCATTTCCGTACCTGGTTCCGACCCCAGTAGGCCTCCAGGGTCATCAATGGCTTCATCTGGTTCAGGTGGAGACCCTATAGAAATGGTGGCTAGTATAGGCAAGGCTCTGTTTGACTTCGGCCGAGGAGTTGTTGAAGACATGGGTCGGGGGGGAGGTTCTTTAACCGAAAGGTACAACATCTCGGGTGTGGGCTTTGATGGTCGCAACAGAAGTATGGACCGCAGGTTTCTGAAAGTAGCCGCTGAGCTTAAAGGTTTGCCATGTCCCACTGCAATGAGTCATCTTACCAAATTGGGTATAACCGAGCTTTGGGTTGGAAACAAGCAGCAGCAATCACTTATGAATAATCTGGCTTCCAAATTTATCCATCCAACTATATTGGAGAGACCTATTTTGGCACAGATCTTTAGCAATGATAATCTATTACCACTTCTGAAACTGCAAATGTTTTCTCCTCGTTTGCTTTCCGATCATATGAGCTCACTTTTTCATGAAAATTGGGTGAACCATGTCATTAACTCGAGTGCAGCTCCATGGTTCTCGTGGGAAAATAATGGAAGTTCTGGTGGTGAAGGTGGTCCTTCTCCAGAATGGACAAGACTCTTTTGGAGAAGTTTCAGTAGCTCACAAGATCTACCACTCTTCTCTGAATGGCCGCTAGTTCCTGCTTTTCTTGGTAGACCTGTATTATGCCGTGTAAAGCATTGCAATCTCATATTCATTCCACCCCAATCCACTGATTCAGACTCGGAAACTGCTGTTACCGAGTGGGGTCTTGAAGATGCTGATGTGGCTTGTTTGGATTCGTTAGCTGAAGAGGTTCGACCCTATATGGTAGCCTTTAAAGTCACTGCTAAAAAATTCCCATGGTTGTACTCATTGCTGAACCAATGCAACATACCCATACTTGATGCTGCTTTCATTGAAGGTGCTCCTCCACGTACTTTTTTTCCTGCACTTGGCCAATCATTGGGGAAAGCCATAGCAAGCAAGCTTGTTGCCGCGAAAACTGCTGGTTATTTACCTGAACTGACCTCCTTTCTAGCTTCAGATTGTGATGAACTGGTTCGCCTTTTGGCTTCTGATTTTTCATCTAATGGCTCTGAGTACGCAAGAGAAGATCTTGAAGTTTTTCGTGATTTACCAATCTACAAAACAGTTTCTGGGACGTATAAAAAAGTGCATACCCAAGATACATGTATGATTGCTTCAAATACATTCCTCAGGCCGTATAGCGAGCAATGTCTCTCTTATGGCTCAGAGTCTGTTGAGAGTGAACTGCTCAGAGCCCTTGGGGTCTCTGAGTTGCAAGATAAACAAATATTGGTTCGGTTTGCATTACCAGGATTTGAAGAGAAGCCGCAATCAGAACAGGAGGACGTATTGATATATCTTTACATGAACTGGCAGGATCTCCAACAAGATCCTTTAGTCATCGAAACATTAAAGGAGACCAAATTTGTAAGAAGTGCAGATGAACATTCAGGGGACCTGTATAAACCCAAAGACTTGTTTGATCCTGGTGATTCACTACTAACTTCAGTTTTTGCTGGTGAGGTTCAAAAGTTTCCTGGGGAAAGGTTTGTCTCGGATGGATGGCTTAACATACTAAGGAAAACAGGTCTTCAAAACACGAGTGATGCAGATATTGTGCTTGAATGTGCTAGAAGAGTAGAGTTTCTTGGAGCTGAAAGTATGAAACCTTCAGGGTTTGTTGACGATTTTGAGGAAGACTTTTCAAACGCAAGAACTGAAGTTCCTTCAGAGATCTGGTCCTTAGCTGAAACTCTTATCAGTGCTATATTTGCAAATTTTGCTGTTCTTTATGGCAACAATTTCTGCAATATTCTTGGCAAGATTGCATGCATTCCTGCCGAAAAAGGCTTCCCATCTTTAAGTGGAAAGAAAGGTGGTAAAAGAGTTCTTTGTTCATATGGTGAAGCCATTTTGTTGAAAGATTGGCCACTTGCATGGAGCGTTGCTCCCATTCTTTCCAGACAAAGCATGGTTCCACCCGAGTACTCTTGGGGTGCTCTCCAACTGCGGAGTCCTCCTCCTTTTACTATAGTTCTAAAACATCTCCAGGTTATGAACTATGCTCTCTTTCTTTTGAATATTAGAGGCTCTAGTGTTCCCCAGACACTACTTCCAATTAGGATATAGTGGGTGTGTAACACCCCCATTCCGAAAGAAAGGGAGGCTACTTCAAAACGTAACGGAGCACTATATAAAACCTCCAAAATATAGTCTCCAATACAAAATAAAATCTTCCAATAACGAAATTGAATATAACTCCAAATAAGATATAAAGGTCTCCAAACAAACTATTTCCAAAATYCTCCAACAACCGAGGAAAATCTAAAAACAACCAAAGAAATCTAATCTAATAGCCAAAAGAAAAAGATTCTAATAAGCGAAATAACATAGTTCTAAACCTCTCGAAACCTTGAAACCAAGATTCTGGTCTACTCTCTGCCACAAGACTTAGCCGCCCCCTTGATTACCTTTAGCCGCCCCCTTGATTACCTGCCGTGAGGAATAGAAGAAAACACGGCTGAGCCAAATGCCCAGTGAACGGATAAACAAATATAGAAAAATGGTAAAGCAAACATGCCAAAATCGAACCAAACGAGTACCAAAATCTTATAAAATCAACAAATAACATAATCATACGAAATCATATGAAGGGACAAATCGAGCTCGAAAACGCATACACTTGCATATTAACTAACATGACAAGTGTCAGACATATGGCCACACAGGCCTGTACGTTGGACTGCAGATCCACACGTACCAAATGTGAGATGTGGCGTTGGACACTACACCGACATCCACCCTACAAACGAATCACATATGCTAGGGTCGACCCATACGCCTCCTAAATCTAATATCTATCACACCAAAATAGCTCTCACAAGAGCACAAAAAGAGGAGACGCYGTGGACTGATCACACTGCCACGGTTAGTGTCACGCCATCGGTGCCACAATGACGTGCCTATGGTACCCCCATAGGTGGTTAGTAGCTCGAGTTACCCAGAGTTGAGTTGTCACAACGAATGTGACGTTATACGTCTTACATAAGGTCAATAAATAACAAAGTCAAACGAAAAGTCAAACATATGTCAAGTAAGGAATTATGTTGAATAAACAAGTAGTCGCAATATAAAGAGACTCAATTCGAAGAATACATAATCAATCAAAAGTACCAACATACGTACTTTTAGAGGTAAAAATCATACCAAAATGTTACCGAACAAATAAACGTATTATTTTGGAGAAAACACATACTTGTACCAACATTGACCCACTTAAATAACATGATTAGAAAGTGGTTTTCTTACGATATATACGACATAGAACATTTGCAAGTGAATGGAAATGCAGTACAAAAAGAATATCAATAATCGT